CAGCTGCTGGATAAGTTCTTGTACTGAGAGTTGACCTGCAATGTCGGGGAAGGCCGCCTTGGTGAGTTCAAATATAAGTGCACCGAAGACCGTGAGGAAGGGAGCTGCCCATGTGCGAAAGAATGAGATGATGGGTCGAGCTTTCTGCCAGTCCTTGGTCGGCTGTGGGAGGATGCGCGCTGTGGGCAACGGTGCTTGAAGTCGAAGGCCCCATGCATATCGTTGACGTAGGAGAGAAGGTACTGTGTTTACCACTTCAGAGCGGAAGGATGCTGCAGATTCGCGGCAAAGTGAGAAGACATCCCCCGCGCAGAATGTCTTCCGCATCAATATGGCAAACAGGGACGGGCACATCACATGTGCGCGGGAGGGAAAATGATCCGCTGGGATACTACCCACGAAGACAAAGAAGCCACAGTGCGTTGCAACGATGTCGATGACCAATAAGCCCGATCTTGGAGGTTCATCCGATGAGTATCCATTAACTGAGTCACAACCGGCTGTAGATCTGAAAGTAGACCGGAACCATGTACATGCCAGCGGCGAGCAAGTTTGCGAAGTTGTGTGGTGAAACGTTGATGCAATAAGTCGACATCACCGAAAAACTGATCCTTCATTGAGGCGGCCATGATTTCAACGTTAATGTCCGCATTGATGCGAGAAAACTCATCCACCATTACTGCGTGACCATGTGCACGGTGTAGATGATGATCATCGATGTCCAAACAGCGACACGGAAAGGATGTGTCAGGCGTCCATTTGCGCTGCCATGTGCGATAGTTGTATATCTTGTCGCCCAATGTGGCGCTGCGAGTTTCCACAACCCGGATCTTTGGAATGAAAAGAGAAGGGAACAGATCCCGATGAGAAGCAATCCAGCTTTGTAACCATGTGCCAAGTAGAGCTTTCCAATTCTGGACATGTAGCGGCGGCAAGAGTAGCTGTGTCAAAGTGGTGGGTGGTTGTAGCCGTCGTTTGCGCAGTACCTGGGCGAGGAGCTTCTGGGCCTTGGAGCGGAAGGGCTCGTTGACAAAGACTGCGAGCCGCAATAAGTAGTACAGCTGAGTGGGAGGGAAAGCGGCCGACAGTAGGTCACGCATGACTTGGAACGACGCTCCTGTATTCGATCCCAGCTGATAGAGAATCGAGTAGTGGGCTTGAATGTCATCCAGGGTGTCAGGTCGTAGTTGCCGTTGGAGATCCGGATGTAGTCGTCGTCGAAAGCGCTTGTGCAAGCCGAGGGAAGTGGGAGACGACAACGAGTGGCGTCGAAAATCAACAAGATGTTCCCGGAAGCCCACCTTGCGCAAGATTCTGTGTACCCAGGGCGCATTCAAATGCGGGCGTAGCAGGTATTGCCATTTGCTTTCTTGAACCCACACCGAGGAAACTGGAAGTTTGATTTCCACTGGTACAGCACAGAAGAGCCAGTAAGTATTGGATCGTTTCCAATAGTGAAGCGCCGGTTCAAAGAAGGCATGCCGTCCACGAAGTAGTTGTAGAAATTTGCGACTGCGTGAGTGTTCACGACGTAGAACATCCTGATCTGTCGCCCCAACATAGTATGGTGTGTGCCATGGCGAAAGTCGAATGTAGACGCACGGTTGTTGGTGATGACCTGGATCATGTATGAAGTCGTAGAGGTCAGGAAATCGCGCCCGCAATGAGCGTAGATGTCGCGTGTCAGCGAAAGTTGAGTGCATGATTTCACACAAGAGAGAAGTCTTGTAGAAGTGAAGGACTTCGAAGAACGGCGGGAAATAGCCGTGATCTTGTGAAATGAGACGTTGTAAGAAACTGATCAATAAATAGGCAGCGCACCGACATCTGTGAAGCTCGTACCTGTTGGCCACGGTGTGCTGAGAGTTGGACATAGCGCGATTCGGAATCTGAAGGGCTATCCGGACCACAACTAAGACCTCAAGGATGAGACCCAGCCACGGCAATTGTGTGATGGATTCGTACTCCTCAATTGGAATCGACGGTGGTGGTAGTCCAGGAAAACAGTAATGCCAGCACGTAGAGAATATGGTCAACGAGTGCAGAAGGTCGTCCAGCGACTGCCATTGTGCAACATCATCATAGATTCCGCAGCGGCGAAGTTCATCCAACATGGTGAGATGCAACCAACGAAATCTACCACAAGGCGGCGACATGAATACAAGCATCACAGACAATCACACAAGAGGCAATGCAAGAACAAGCAAGTACAAGATCAATCAGGTGCAACGCAGACACTTGACGGACGAGTTTTCACCTGGACTCATCCGTGACATTGTTGCCGCTCCGGGCTCATATGAGAACGAAGGTCATCATGATGCCTTCTCATCCACAGAGCAGGCGAGCGGTCACGATGAGGTGACTCAATGCCTTCTCAGTGAGTTTGGTAAGATAGCCGGGTTCTAGTCCCCACGAAGCCGCCATTGCCCCGAGAGTGGGTGCATCGCCTTTCGGCATGCGTTGCCTCGCCTGAAGAAGCTGCGTCGCCATAGAATCTAATGACTTGTTGCCGTTGAGCCGGGGTGATTGGCCCACTTAACCAGCGATGCCAAAGTGGTTGTTGTGGGTGCTTGCTTGAGGAAAAGGCGAGGTTGGTCACTGGTCCATGTGTAGTACTTGACAACTTCATCCGGCGTGCTGTGCATGGTGAGCAACTGTGACGCCGCCGGTTTGGACGGCGGTGACGACACTCCGTGAAGAGACTGCATGATCCGAGGTTGCACCACGCTATCAAACGACTTGCCATCCAGGGCTGGCTGGGGCAGGGAGCTGGCAGGTGACGAGGATGGTGTGTGGTTGACCGGTGGCGGTGTAACCAACTCTGCATCATCCTTCTGGTTTGTCATCGTGGGAGAGGTCGATGCGCGAAGTGATGCGGAATACTGAGCTTGGAGAAGTTCGTGTGCACGATTCAATCATTGAACTTTTTGACCATGTCATCGGTCTGGGCGGCAGGTGCGAGAGAGGTGTGATGTTGTTGAAGAAATTGAAGTACCAAGTTGGCCAAATGGTCGTGGACCTTGGTGCGCTGATTGAAGTCATCGATGTTGAGACCCAGCGTGTTGGCAAGGTCCTTTTCCAGGGTGAGCAGGTTGAGTGACTGTGATCTTCGTAGTAATTTGGAACAGGTACTCCAAAGTAAGGCCTCGGTGCGGGTGCGAAAGCCTTCCCACGTCACGAATCGGCCGTGTGCAAACGGCCTGAGTAGCCAGTTGGTGAGGCCCCCGTGGATAACCTGAACCAGGCGTACGTCCCTAATATCCATGCCTGACATGTCGCGAAGGTTGCCATGCGGAGTGTTGGCAACAGTCATGGGCAGGCTGAAGTTGTAGAGTTGATTGACATCAAACATGCCGTCTCCAGGTGTCCAGTCAGGCGAGGGAGTAAGCCAGGCTTTCTGAGGGCGAACCGGTAGAGCCGCAGGAGGTCCAGGTGACGGTGTAGGTTGGGAAGTAGTGACCGGTGGTGGCATCACTGGTGGCATGAACTTGGATGGCGTGGGATCAGGAGGGATCGGCATCATGTAGTTGATCGCCGGGTATTGGAATTGTTGTGTGGGGTTGTGAGTCGATTGAAAATTGGTAGGCATCATCGGAAAGTTGTTAGCAGCGCTGTAGCCGGAGTTGTGTTGCCATGAAACCAAGTTGTTCCAATCCATGTTCTCCGAGACCTGGTTGTCATTGTGCTCACGTCGGCGTGCTTTATGAGCTTGAGGGGACTGACTCCGATCACGTCTGCGTCGAGTCCTGGATCTATCACGATCATCACGTCGAGACATGGTGACGCAACTGACTCTGAATTTGCACACTTCCACCTTGAGAGAGTCGGACCCGACAACATTCAAATCAACGCAAATGCAAGTTAGCGGCCCTCAACTGCAATGGTCGATCGACATGCACAAGGCAAAGCAAATACAAGTCAGCAATCGTCAACCGCGGTGATACGAGCAACAAGTTCAACCAATGGTCGGGAAATGCAATGAAATCGGCAGCTATCAACTGTGGTGAGACGTCGCTATGATCTGACGGCTTTCTTCCCTTTAGTGAAACCTCGTTCCTGATTAAATCTGAAATTCCGCCGTTCTATGATAAGCACGTTGAGGTCAAATTTTCCGACAGAGCCGGCCCGGGGTCACACAATGGGTACACCCGAGGATTCCCCACGAATGGGGTGTACACACTTAAACTCCAAATGGAGAGTGCTAATCTTTCGAGTACAACTGATGAGTCTCGAGTACAACTGATGAGTCTCGAGTACGATGAGTATCTGCTTGATTTCCGCGGGCAAAGAGGGGACCTTGTTGGGAAGCAGGTACGTAGCTGAGCGTCCTCAGCTACTTCCCTTCCAGTGACCTAGCTTCGTTGGATCAGGTCAGTCACTGGAAGCCTGATCCCCCTGTTGCAACAAGAAAACGGTTTTTGGGCAGGGTTTTGCCACACACACACACACACAGACACACACACACACACACACAGACACACACACACACAGACACACACACACAGACACACACACACACAGACACACACACACACACACAGACACACACACACAGACACACACACACAGATACACACACACACACACAGACACACACACAGACACACACACAGATACACACACACAGATACACACACACACAGATACACACACACACACACACACACACACACACACACACACACACACACCCTTGGCTGTTGCTGCTTGTACAAGCAGACAACACTTGACATTATTTGGTCTGATCCTTTTCTCTTTGCTTGCGTCCCGATGCTGTGGGGACAGTGCATGAAAAACCTTCAGATACTTGAGAAGCTGGTTTGGGCTTTCTGTAGCGCTTTGGGAGGGCTAGGCTTTGCTCATTTGCAGCACTTCGATTTTTTGTCGTAGAACCTGATTGGAGGTTCCCTGAAGAAGGCTATTTGAAGGAGGTTTCTAGAGGATTCCAGCGCAGCGGAATCCATGACGAGTGGGTATGCCTCGTGATGCGCGCACCTCAGGAGGGCAAGACTCCACCCTTGGGACTCACCGTGGCGCTGGGCTTTGACTCCTTCTTGGTGTCCAGGAGCGGGTCCGGCCAGTCCAAGAGAAGGTTCCCATCCAAGCCACCAGGAAGAAATGGGGGGTAGGTACTCCTTACAAAGTGGCAAGTGGCTATATAAAGGGAATATGAACCCTCCCCCCCCAAAAAAAAAACAAAGAAGGAGAATATATTTTTTGGGTAGTGAGAACCTTCCTGGAACAAGATCGGTTCCAGTGGTTCCATCCCCAGGCAGACCTACAGGAATGCTCCAGCAGCCTGCTACTTTTGCAATGACGTGACAGCGCCCTCGGAGTCTTGCCTGCACCAGCACACTATTGATCTAGTTCCGCGGCTCTTCCTGGGGGCTCATTGTGGATGATGTGTGGAGACTTCGGCTCGTCAAAGTGGAAATCAAAGACTATGTCAGTTGCCTGGATGGCGGTGACATAGCAGACCTGAATTGTCAACCAAACGCAGAAACACAGAGACGCAGAGACACAGAGACACAGAGACACAGAGACACAGAGACACAGAGACACAGAGACACAGAGACACAGAGACACAGAGACACAGAGACACAGAGACACAGAGACACAGACGCGCACACACACAGAGCCACTCCCATGCCTTGCTGAGGATTCTCTGGCCTTCAGGACGGAGTTGTTGGATTGCCACTGCTCTCCCAAGTCTTTGCCATGCTTTGCGAAGCTTGTTTTCCCAGGAGCACGGATCGGCGAAAGTGAGATTCTCTAGAGTTTGCTTGCTCAGAAATTTGCTCCCAACTTCTGCTAGCAGAATTCAGTGGGGCCAACACACACTTTGGGGGAAGCCGGGGTCATGTTCATACCCTCAGAAGGTGTGTGTGTGTGTGTGTGCCAGTTGGTTTTCTTTCGCGCACGGTTGTCCATGGTCAGTTCCCCCCCTTCCCTGGCCACTCCCCAGTTGTGCGGTCAACCCCGAACCTCTTTGCCCCGCGTTTTTATCTCTCTTGTTTTGCCAGGACGCTGGACCAGCAGTGCACCGTGACCCGGCCCGGCATCTCCGGGCTCGCCAGCAACTGCGCCGTGGAGCTGCTGGCGGCGCTGACGCAGCACCCGGAGAGAGCTCTCGGGGTTGGAAGTCGATGCCATGGGCTAATTTTGGTTCAGATCCCTCAGTTCAGGTAGTCCGTGGTTGGATTGGTGGATTGAATTGGTGGATTGAATTGGTGGTTTGGATTGGTGGTTTGAATTGGTGGTTTGGATTGGGTGGTTTGAATTGGTGGTTTGGATTGGTGGATTGAATTGGTGGTTTGGATTGGTGGTTTGGGGGGGTTGAGCCTCTGAATCCAGTAGAGGGTAAGCGGGAAAACACCCCGAACCACCAAACTATCAATCCAAATCACTTGGAAGGAAGCTGATGCTCCACAAGTGAAGCACCACACAGCACCAGACCTCGCACTGGCTGCTTTTCATTTTCTTTTGGGCAGCTTCTGAGTGCGAATCTACGCTCCGGGGCGAATCCTGACTTCGTGATTCCCAGCGGAAGCAGCCCAAGCCTTGATGTCGAAGGGTGCAATCCGATTTGTTGCAGTAGTCAAGATGGACCCCTTGGAATTTGTTGCGGCCTGTTTCTGCGGCATTGTCAGCAAAAGGCATGCGTTTCGGCAGGACGGCTTTGCAGCCGAGTCATCCAATTCGTCCAACGCTTGCCTCGAGTCTCCCTTGGGCGGCGTGCCCCATCAGGCCTGAGAGAGTGGAAAAAACAAGGGCAAGGCTCTGCGCTCAGGTTCGAGGCTTTGCAGCTGACTATGCGTTGTCCCCCACAGAGACCGAGCCCTTCGTGCATTGCATTTGCTGCTCGCAAAAGGCGGGGCCGTTGCACGGCGCATTGTGAGCAACCTGACAACCTGGATCTGAAAGTTTTGGCAGATTCTGGCGTGCGCCATGGTTTCTCAACCCAGCTGTCCCTTGCCCGAAGCTGCCAAGATTGATTTGAACTGAAAGCAACTTGCCATCATTCAGTTCCCTGCAGGTGCTGCAACAATATGCCGCAGAAGGAGTCCCATTTATTGAGAAGGTCATCGCTGATTCGTCCATACTGGAGGACTTCACACATAGATGCATCTTTTGAGGGCGTTGCCGTTGCGTCGCGGATTTCTGTGCAAGGTCGAGAAAAAACAACTTGTTGACATGATCATCTAACTTGGAATATGGGCTGCAGGGCGCTGGGGTTTCATGAAGCGCTGGCCATGGCTAGCCTGTGACACATGGGAGTCATTGAGAGGATAAAGCTCGTGTGAAAGCTTCTGTTTGGCTTGCCTTGCGAGCTCTCGCCTAGGAGATTTCCGGCCTCGCGGAGATGAAAGCTGGCATGCAGGGGGCCTGGCTGGACTGACTTGCAGGTGTGAGGTTTGTGGTCCTTCGCTGAGGTGTGAGGCTGAGGTGGAAGCCTTTGATGACTTCGACGACCTCTGAGGGGCAGAAATGCATATAGCTGCCGCTGGGTTGACAAACGCAAGTTGATGCAATGTCGCGCAGACGATGACGGAAGCGTGGCCTGCTTGTTGATCTAGGATTGGCCGCTCTCGCTCTGCTATGCGCTTCAAGATGCAAGGGGGATGGCTTGCAGATGGGTCTCCGCGGCATTTTGGGCTCAGGCAGAGCCACCTTTGTGTGACTGTAGCACATACCCGCCCGGGCAGCCCCACACCATGTCGCTCATGAGGTTGGGGCATGCGCTGCGAGTAAGGTTTGTGTCAACATCAGAAGTTCTTTCTATCCAAGCATTGGGAGGGGACCTGATTTTGAGTTCCTTTGGTGCCAGGGCCGTCACCAAGGGTCGCATGACAGCCTCAAGGTGGGCATGTGCGATGTGCCAACATGGCCTGAAGTGCAAACTCACCAGGGGAACAACATAGGGCAAACAAAGCAGGGGGATTCTGATGTTTCACCCTTTTTGAAAAAGAGGGGGCGTCATGGTTTGTTCTTTCTGCACCTGGCGCTGCATGACGATTCCCACACGTTCTCAGAGAGCCAAACGAGCAGGCTGCCAGCGGTCGCGACACGGACCAGTGCCTTCATGCCTTCTACGCCGCTTGCTCGGATCTGCTTGATTCAGCATCACGGCCCCATGTCCTTCATTGCTTTGGGGCCTATTGTTTTCTGTTCAAAGGGATGGACTTGGCCACTCCTGAACTTTGTGGATGTCACCATTGGCTCAGCGAAAATAGTAGGAGGAGGAGCTTCCCCTCCCCCGTGAACTTAGGGAGGTTTGGCGAGCAGGAACCCACACAGCTTCACTTGAATCACAGCCAAAAGGGACACTTTTGAGACCTTGCTAAGTAATGGACTTGACTTGATTCTGGTTGGAGCCATCAAAGAACTCAGGGCTGTGCATCGCTGTGATTCATCACCCGGCCGTTTGCCAGACCTCAGGCCCGCTGAATGGGAAGCTTCAGGCTATGAGACCTCCAAGAAGAATGGCGCACCGAAGGTTTATTCGATGTGGAACAGGTGGGAGTGAATGAAACGAGCGGCCACAGAATAGGTCAGTCAGGGTCGGGCCAAATTGGAACGAACAACCACACCACGGCTGCTTCACAGGGAAACATGATCTTTGTCAAAGTTGGTCAACCCAACCCGAACCCAGTCCACAAGTCTCTCGTTTCGGGCAAGGTGGTTCCCCTACGAGCCTGTGCCCTACTCCCCCAAGCTGGGCCCCTACATTGAGACCGTGGAGAAGGATCACGTCTACTACTGGTGCTCTTGCGGCGAGGCGACTACGCAGCCATGGTGCGACAACGTGGGCTGCAAGGACACCAAGTTCAAGCCGATTGTCTTCATCCCCTCCGAGAGTGGACGGCAGTACTTCTGCGGAAGCAAGCACAGCCCATCCAGGCCCCTCTTCAACGGAACCTGCTGGACAATGTGGATGGATGTGAACACCATCCCAGCTGCCGGCGTCCTGTTTGGCATCAGCTTCGGCGTTGGCGTGGTCTGCACATGGCTGGCACATCCCTGAGAGCTTCGGGCGAGATCACATCAGGGGTTGAACGATTCACATGGTAGGACACTTAGCAATACAGCCATCTTGTTGATTTTTGCAATGCAGATTCTCCCCCGATGGATAGAATCATCATGGAACATCTAAATTGAACATGAAAATTGATATTCTACATGTAAATTCATTCACTATATGGTGTAATATAAGGTTATTATTGATTATAATATTATTAGTTCTATTTTGATTGGAATATAAACATAATATTGAATATAGAGATATATATTAATAAATATATATGGTACAGCGTTGCCAGCCCCCCCCCCCCCTCCCCCCCAATGGTCATGGGTCAGACAAGTACCCCCCCCCCCCTGTGGTTGTGGTCCTGTGGTTGGGTTGTGGTGGTTTAGGGTTGGTTTAGGGTTGGTTTAGAATTGGTTTAGGGTGTATTTAGGGTGTATTTGGGGTTAGTTTAGGGTTTGTTTAGGGTTGGTTTATGTTGTTTTAGGGTTGGTTTAGGGTTGGTTTAGGTTTAGAGGTTTACGGTTTAAGGTTTAGTTTAGGGTGTATTTAGGGTTGGTTTAGGGTTAGTTTAGGGTTGGTTTATGGTTGGTTTATGGTTGGTTGCGGGTTGGCTTGTCCTGGGGGTGGGGGTGCCGGGGTGTTGGGGTGCGAGTTTAGGGGGTCGGGGTGAGGGTGGGAACGTAGGTGCTAGGATCCGGGGGTCTCGGGTTGGGGGGGGGGGGTCCTCCGACTTCGCTCCCCACCGAGGTCGGACCCGATTTTGCTCCAAGCTTCCAAGTTGGTTTTCAGCCCGAAAAACCCTGGTGGCCCTGGTGCGGGCCTGGTGCGGGGGCCTGGTGCGGACGGCAATCCTGTGTTGGGCACAGAATTGCCCCTTTAATCCTGCGCTGGCAACAGAATTGCTCCACCCATTCCTGCGCTCATAGCAGGATTGCCCCGGTGCACTACCAGCAGCTCGGGCTTGGAGCTGTTCTTGCCCGAGCACAGCCGTGATGGAGCCGGCCCTGTAGCCCGGCGCGGCCTCTCGGGGGACCCATACCATCGGGGGGGGGGGGGGGTTAGCAACACGGAACACGGGACCATATATATTAATAATTATATATTATAGAAAGAAATAATTTATTTGAAATGATATAAATTGATGTATTATTGGTATGTTTTTTTTTTTGAAGATATAATTTTGATTATTTATAATTTAATGGTATTTAAAATTTGCGAAATTATATTATAGTATTTCGAAAATGAGGTTGAAAATTAAAACAACATTTTGTTAAATAATGTTGAAATTAAATTATAATTTATGTATATAAAATTTTATATATATATATTGTTGTGATGATATTTCTTTTGTTATATTGTTTTTGTGTTTTATTTATTTATTGATTTTTTGGTGGTTGTATTGTTGTTTTCCGAATTTTTAATTAAATGGTTACCGATATGTTTGAATTATAGAAATATATATAATATTTTTACATATATTATTTATTAATATTGATAATTTTAATACATTTATATATTGTTTTTATATTAATACAATTGGTGAATTTGATGGAAAGATAGATTAATTATATATATATTGTATAATGATTTATTAATGGTTTTTAAATATATATTATATAAATATAAATATATATAATTAAAAAACATATATTATAAAAACAAAAAATATATAATATTAAGATTTTTTTGTATTAATAAAATTAATGAGATTAGTGGAAAGAAAAATTAAATATATAAATATTGTAGTGGTATTTATTGTTGTATTTTAAAAATAATGATTTTAATATTCTATTTATAATTTATATATGTATTTATGTATATATTTATGTTAAAGAAATTCCGTTAATTCCATTATCAATAATGCTAACAAAAAGTCAAAGAGGAAGACAAAAGAAAGAAAGAGAGAAAGAGAGAAAAGAGAACAAGAAAGAGATAGAGAGAAAGAAAAAAAAAAGATAAGATAAACAAATAAAAAAGAAAAAGAAAAAACGATAAGAATAACAAAGAGAAAAAACGAGAACTAAGATAGAAAAAAAAAAAAGAGAAAAAAAGAAAGACAAAAAAGAGAGAGAAAGAGAATAAAAGAGAGAGAGAGAAAAGGAGAGAAAGAGAAAGAGAAAGAGAGAGAGAGAGAGAGAGAAAGAGAAGAAAAAAAAAAGAGAGACAAAGAGAGAGAGAAAAAGAAAGAGAGAGAGGGGGAGGGAGAGAGAGAGAGAGGGGGAGGGAGAGAAAGAGAAAGAGAGAGAGGGAGAGGGAGGGAGGGAGGCAGGCAAACAAGCAAGAACAATGGTAGAATAAAACAAACAAAATAATCAGAAACGAAAAGAAAGATAGAACAAAAGGAAACAAGTGGAGCTTAAAAGGAGGAGATATGGCATACGACAACGTAAAAATATATCATTTTTATAAACCCACCTGTAAAAATAAACATAGATAAATAAAAAAATAAAACATGAAAGATGTAAAAAAACATAGAAATAAACGACAATCACGGACACATAAAGACAAACAAAGACAAACCAAAACAACCCGAAAAACAAAAAGACACAAACAAACAAAAAAAAAACAAAGAAACACAAACACCAGATATACAAAAATACACAAAAATAAGCAAAACAAACCAATGATTACGAAATACATAAATATAAATATATAAAAAACATAAATAAATAAAAATAAAAATAATTATATAAAAAATAAGAATATAAAGAAGAATCGTAATGCCGGAAATACTCAACAAAATTATTAAAAATCCTCGAAAATTTCGATTTCGGGGCCTTCCGAGTTACGTAAAGAAACGAGACCTTAAAACATAAAAAAAAAAAGGGGGAAAAAAAAAAAAAAAAACATAACAACTATTACGATTCTGTCGAAATACCAATGCACAAGAAATACAATCTCGAGGATATACATATTTATAAAAACATGATTTTTTTTAAAAAAAAACCCAAACCAATTCAAAAATATATACTCAAAAATATATATAACTTACAACATTAATTTATAAAAAATAAATAATTCCTCCAATCATAAACATAATCATCCACCCTAAAATATACATACCACCACACCAAAATATTCAAATTTCAAAACTAAATACATCTAGAAAAATAAATATATATATATATATATCTATACATCTATATATATCTGTATATATATATATATATTCAATTTAAAATAAATATATTTCAAAATATTAATTATCTATATAAAATAAATCCAAATAACCAAATATATATTTCAAATAAATCATATTTATCAAAAATTAATTAAAATTCTAAAAAAACAATCAACATATATAATCAAATATATAATTATTATAACCACAAATAAAATATATATAATTATAAATTCACATAAATACAATCACAAACATATTTTACAAACAATAACAAAACTATAACTATACAAATAATCTAAATAAAATATAAACAATATTAATATCAAAATAATTATATATATATAAATAATCCAATATACATCAATATTCGAACAACAAATACCACAACCCTTCTAAATGTTATCCATCCATTAATTCATTTCTAATCCTATTTAAATTAAATATTAAAATCAAAAAAATGAAATAATGAATAACATTTAAAAGGGTTACGATATTTGTTATTGTAGACAATTATTTAATCAACATAAAAAACATATATAATATAACACATAACAACAATAATATATATATATATATAGATATAATACTAAAAAAAAAAAAAAAAAAAAAAAAAAAAAAAAAAAACAATCATCAACCATGTATTTTCCTACACAACATATTTTGTCAAACATCAAATATTAAATTTACCCCTAAACTCAGTAAACACATCTTTACACCCATACCTAACCCCTAATATTCATAGCAAAATTGTCCAAATCAAGATAAAAATATATGCAAATGAGTATGTAAATCAAACCAAATTTGCAAATCAATTTTACAATGTGATGTACATATTTTGTTTATTATTTTTTTAAAATACAGATATGTTACAGTTTATATGATTAAATGTTTGATTCGACATCGGTATCATCTTTTAAGTTCTGGGCGGGAACAACCGAATTTTGTTGTGTCCCAGGTCCCAGGGTTTAACTGATTGAACGATTCGTTCACTTCTAAAGCAATTCTGGCTAAACGCTGCGCCCGGGTTTGCGCAGCATGGCCCGACTCTTGGGGCTGATCCTTGGCTGGCATCTCTTGCAGTGCGCCTTTCCTACAGCAAGGAATCGGCAATCCGAATCGGGGCTTAACTTGCTACATGGAGTTTGTCTGCAGCCGCCTCATGTGAATTAGATTTGGAGGTATTGTGCTAGGAGTCCAAGCCACACAAACTGCCATAGGTTGCTTTCACTCCCAAAAGCTATGGACCTGGTCAACTGAGGCACCGTGCTCCCCCAGCTTTTCAGCCACACAGGGACTTCGCTCAGCGATCTCCTCCAGGCCTCGCTGAAATGTCGGAGGATAGATTGGAAGCTGCAACAAGCCATGCCCATGTGTCTCTCTCGGACCAGGGGTCTGTCCAAATGGCGGATCGGCAGCGCGCGCCTCTCTTGAGGGCCAAGTAATGATTCTTGCTGAGGACTCTGACGCACTCCTGCAAGTGACACAACCCTCGTTCCCCTCACCATTTCAGAAAACAACACCTGCAGCCAGTCAGCCGAGCTCAATTTCATGCCCCGGTTTTTTACACCGATAGTTGGTCTTGAGTTGGGCTGATGGGAGGCCATCCCTCCTCTTGAAATTCATGGCGAATCGCGGGCGCGCTCCGATCAATGAGGGAGCTCGGCAAGGAACAAGTTCGAAAGCTGGCTAGCGCCGCTGAACTGTCAAGTGCATGTTGCGTCACTTCGTATCAGGCTTGAGGTCTCGAACCGCTGACCAGTCCAAATCCTTCCCCCTCCCGTCTCCTTCGACTTTTGCCGCGGATGCAGGAAAAAGCGCCAAACGCCTCAATGAATGGGGAGCCAGAGAGGTGAATAGAGCATTATGTTTGTCACAATGATGGCACCGCAAGCGTCTGCAAGTGTCTCTTGACCCTCGGTGACCGTGGCAGGAAAGTGCGAACTGTGGCTTTAGTCATTTGAACGTTGCATGCGTGGATTGAGAAGAGGACCGAGCGCTGGTTGCATTTCGCGGGATGGCCGCAGTGCAAGGAAAGGACAACATAGCTTGATTTAGCCAACCCAACAAAATACAATGCCAGAGGGGGCCCCAAGCGTGGCAGTGCCTCCATGTTTGGTATGATTCTTCGTGTTGAGATCCAAAGATGCTGCAGGGCACCAATGCCATACACCGTACACCCAGGCTGCAGGGTCCACGCGTGTTGGAACAGCTGCCCGGGAACTCACGGCGCTTTTGCAGAGCCCCTGGCGCTTGAACAGGTCCTCGTTGTTGCAGCTAGACTTGATGATGTTATACACCTGGCAAGCCATGTATCTGGATACAACATCGAAGGGCATCTCCAAGGGAAGTCAAGCCCGCAAAGGCATGCTCCGCTAATGAGGGGTGGCCCCCAGTGAAACATCCAAGCCCAATTGTCGTTCCACCTAGCTTGCGCTTAACTAAACGCCCAGGCAACACTTCGCATCATTCACCCTATCATACCTTACAAGCACAATGTCATATGGGTAGTGAAATGCCTACGCCCCCTGTAATCAAAGTTGCCACGAAGATATGAGGCTTCTTCCCTGAAAAACTGCTACCAAGGTGGCTTTTCAAAGATTGACTCAGCGTTCAAAATCATCGGGCAACTTTGCCCCCAAATCTTCCGCCGCCGACACCAACGCACATCCGAAGCATTTGCTGCATCAGGTTCGCCAGTTGGCGAAATCTGCGTCTGCAGAAATCAGCTTCCGCCAGCGTCCGGACGCACATCCTCGGAACAACGCCCCCCATAGGTGCAGCAGGAGCACCTGTCCCGCTTGCATTGACCATGGCACGCTGCGTGACACGCGCTAATCGCCCAATCCGACTCCTTCTGCCTCTCCCCTTCTTCCCGTGTGTGTTGCGCCATTTCGTCCTGCAGCACACCTGCTAAGCCATGCGGCCATCCGTACTCCCCCGCATCTCGAGAACTCCATCTCGAGAATTCGCGGGTTGTCAAGACCACTTCGCTAGGTCCGGTGCTGGTGAATCTCCTTCGCCGTCACTCTGGCATAAACTCTGGACTGCCTTTTAACAATCTGCGTCAAATCCTCACACAATCTTGCACTGGAACAATGTGGCTCCAGCATCTTGAGCAGGTGTATGCACTGCATCTTAGTTTCAAGCGTGGTCGCCACCAGAAAACATCCCCTCGTGTGACAGCCCATCTCCTCTTACCCAGTCCGCTTCTCGTGGCGCTTCAGATACATTGAACAAAATCTAACTCACAACTTGCAAATGCGCAGATGCTGGGAAGCAACAAATGAGGCTGAAGAGAAACAATCCGAAGGAAAAGAATCGGACCTCTACAAACCGCCCTTTTGACTCAGTGCCCCAGCCTGCTGGTTCTCATCAAGGGGCAGCAACATGCAATAAAACATGGGCCTGAGGGTGATGCAGATTTCTCGCAAAACATGCAAGCCCCCACCCCCTTGACAAGCTGTGAAATGGCAACTTCTCCTGGGCTTCCTTTGCCATTCGGCGGCCACTCGTTTTCAGACACATTGGATATTGACATGGCCTCCGAACGGCTATTCCCGTAGGTATCCTTTTGCTGTGCTGAGCTGTCGGCAGCACAATCGTCAGCATCGCAGAGGCCTCAGCACAACATAGCGTTGATAAGCACGTGCAGCTTGCGACTGCCTTTGGATGGGGTGGGGGGGAGGGGAGAAACAAACTTACAAACACGTTTCAACGCACCATAGTCAAAAATACCCTCCTGCTAGGAGGTAAGCCCAAATCGACATCATTCTGCAGCTCACCCCGCCAACACACCTAGAAACCACTCAGCTGCGGGCAACGAAGCCAGAAGCACTGAGTTTTTTCTGCCTGCCATGGAGAAACCCAGTCGGCCACCCGGGAACCAATCGGGTCGTGTCTTGCATCTTATTACTCCTTTTGACTCCCCTACACCGCCCGGTTTGCGAAAGTGAAAAGGGCAGCTCTGCTGTTTGTAGGCACCGAATCCCGAACTCCTGCCCGGGCGCAAGAGTCGCTTGCTTCTGGATGGACCTGAATTTTGGCCTTTGATGGGAATGCTCTAAGGATCATGAATCCGACAAAGATATGAACATCTGCTTGGCTTGTGCAGTTCGCTGCGAAGCTTGCTCATGGCGTCAATGTGTCACATCTAAGGGCGCAAGGCAAATGGTGGATGTCACCTTGCTTCCAAGAAGGACCCAATGAGTTTTGTTCAGGGCGCTTGTTTGTTTGTTTGCTCTTCCTTCAATCTTACAAAGCCCGCGGCTGGCACGTGTGGTTCGGCGAGTTTTGCGGAGAGCACTCAGAAAACAAGGCGGCTCGGCGAGAAAACCGTGATCAGCCACGACATTTTCAACAACTCGGAGCGCACCCCCACCGGCGGGCTGGCTGAATCCACTTGCGGTCCCATCGCATGCCAAAATCAGAGCACAAATCACGGTGATAAAAGCAAGCTCCCCAAGGCCAAGAATCTTTACCCTGGTTTTCTTCCTTCCTTTTGAGAGCGAAGGGATCGCAAAACAAAACCGAGACGGGGTTGAGCTTGCTCACTTCCACTTCTCAAGTACATCTTCGAGAGAAACTTCAGCACACAGCACAGTCTGAGGCCCTCGCGATAACGCCAAGCTGCTTTATGACAAAAAAGCTGTCCACGTCATGCAGTACCGGATACCGCCTTCAGCTTCCCAGGGTGGAACCATGCACCACTAATGAGGCACTTCTAAAGCAAGGATCAACCGAAATCAACCTTTCACTAAAACTAGGAACGTATGGAACGCATGTCACTGGCAACAAAAACAACAGTTTTCAGCCTTGGCAAGGAAGCAAGCCCCAAGGAACGCAGTGTGCAACCATGTTGCACCAACTTCGCGCCAGATCGCCCAAACTGTGCCTACAAAAGCTTTACTTCTTGGTGGTCTTGCCTACCTTTGGCTTGGAACAGCTTGCGCCCAGCACTTGCCCTTGCACCCGAAGCCAACATCCGGCCACGTGGAACAAGTGGGCTGCAAACAAGCCGGCCAAAGTGCAAACCATGGAACGTCAGCTCCGGCCAAAACAACAGTTACTTGGTTGTACCATTCTAAGGGGGCTTTTGGACGCGACTCCGGACGACACCATTTGCAAACATGGACGAGTCCTCCGCATGTGCCGGATGAGACATGTCCCATTCGAACACCACAAATGGCACGAGCAACAGCGTTGCACGACCTGCAAATCCCAACGGCACAGTATCCACACGAAACTACCCCGCGCCTAACTTGAACGCCACAGGACATGCAACATTCCATGCAACGTGAACGCCACCGACAGCGACTCTCCCAGGTTCAAATCTCCATGGTACACAAACACCAACATGAAGTGGCAGCGATAGGTGTCTCTAAGGACCACGCAAAACAGCATCCAGCCAGCCCCACACGTTGGTCATAACCTGGCCAGAGGGCAAATCAAATGCTCTCAGCTCCTACAAACAGCTCCGGAACATGCCCCAACCTGTCACTTTCCACAAACCAGTTCGGCTTGTTTCGCCTGAACAAACTGCCCTGTGACGGTAAAAACCATGAGAAATCCTGTTTGGACCTTGCCGCTTGCGTGTTTAGCTTTCCTTCGACCTGGCAACAAACATACGAGGTCCAATACGCGCCGGCACGACAAGGACGGAGAGCAGCCAGAAGGAGCCCCTGTTGGCACGCCACACATTCCAGTCCATGCCTCAGCACGAACAACATGGCCATGGGTCAAAATCCCGTACCCCCAGTGAACATCCCAATCCCCACTAAAATAGGCTAGAATGGGTGGTGCACCTAACCCGAAATGGTACCATTGGTTTTCACCCACAGCTACATGACTTTGAGATTCTTGTTTGACCGCAGCCAAAGATTGGGTGGATGAGCTAATCAGAACCGCCGGGACGCTGACTGCTGGCTCCTGCTTTTCAGTGACCAAACAGGGCAGTCCTCACCTCGCTCAAACCTGAATAACGTGGCACCTACAAGTTTACCAACCTTGGGTGCTTGAAGGGGCCAACAAAAAGAGTTGCCAACCATGTTGTTTGTCCCTAATTCTGAGACAAATCTGTACATATTTGTCGGAGTCCGCTTTAGGCACCTAGATCTCGAGCTTTCAGCTCACACGCAGAGCCTGGATTCAACTGCCAAAACATGAATGGGCAGTGAGCCGCCCCCTTTCTTTCCAGCGTGACAGCAACAAAAACCCAAATCCCATTCTCAGAGAGTTGTGCTTCCGAGGCCGCAGCAAGTCAAAATCAGCCATAGAAGCATCATGGCTGACTTGACCTTATTGTACCAAACCTCGGCAGGAGATACCACAGCCGGGAGGCCAGAACTCTGGTGTTTTCAGGTGCGGATTCGGCGGCGGATAGTGAAAGTCAGGTATGCGGGTGGGCAAGATGCGTGCTTTGTCGGGATACCCAGCTTTGGCAACTGACCTAACTCCGTGCGTTGTGTGGAAAGACCAAGCTCAAATCCTTGCCTGGTCCTTCCAATTTTGCATTTTCTTCCTTCTGCGTGACTCGCGGAACCAAGCTCGCCTCGATGCCTCGCAAACACAATCAAGCACAAGGGGAAGCCCACAAACACGCAAACACGCAGCCACACAGCCACACTGCCAAACAACCACACAACCACACAACCACACAACCACAAACACACACACACACACACACAAACAAACAAACAAACAAATAAAAAAAAAAAAAACACACAAACACACAAACACACAAACAACGCAAAGACACAAACACACAAAGCACACAAAGCACACACACACACAAACACACAACCACACAATCACACAACCGCACAGCCACACGGCAAAACACACAAACAATGCAAAGACACAAACACGCCAACACACAAACACACAAACACACACACAAACACACAAACACACAAACACAAAAACACCTCAAAGGCAACCACGCAAACACGGATTAAACAATGCACGTGGAATAAAGACAAATGGGGGGCCCCAAAAAAATGCACCTGGAATAAAGACAAGCACCCGCCACCCGCGCAAAGAAAAAAGAGAGAGACAGGAGAGGAGAGATAGCCTACCTTGTTCCTTAAATCCAAAAAGTCAGCTTTCCCAACCCACAATTTCTTACATGTCTCTTGTTTGAAACCCGCCCACAATCAAACCCACAAAGGGGGTAAGTAGTACTTCAGTCCCCAATTTGGCATTATTTCAGGGGCCCGCGAAATAAAGTCTTGTTGCCTGGCCCCCCCCCAAGAAAAACAAAAGGAAGCTCCAGCAATACTAAATCAAATTGAAACTCAATTCCAAATTTCAAAAGGAAGCTCCAGCAATGCTGAATTAAGTTGAAACTCAATTCCAAATGTCAAAAGCAACCTCCAGCAATACTAAATCAAGTTGAAACTCAATTCCAATTGTCAAAAGCAACCTCCAGCAATACTAAATCAAATTGAAACTCAGTTCCAAATTCAAAAGGAACCTCCAGCAATACTAAATCAACTTGAAACCCAGTTCCAAATCCTAAAAAGAAGCTCAGCAATACGCAATCAAATAGAAAGTCAAGTCTACCAATACTAACTCAAATGGAAGCTCACTTAAGTGGATCTCAAGATAGTATTCCAGGTGCCCCCATCGTTGAGAGAGGGGGGGGACACCCGTTTACAGGTCCCATTTGGACTCTACACACAAACACGCAAACACGGAAACAGGCAAACGCACAAACACGCGACCAATCAAACATGCAAACACGCAAACACGCGAACAGGCGAAAGGCGAAAGCAAAAACACACTCACTCACACACACACACACACACACACACACACGCACGCACGCACGCACGCACGCACGCACGCACGCACGCACGCACGCACGCACGCACGCACGCACGCACGCACGCACGCACGCACGCACGCACGCAACCACAGACACACAGACACACAGACACACAGACACACAGACACACAGGCACACAGACAAACAGACATACGCACACACACACACCAAAACACAAACACACAAACACGCGAACAGGCGACTGGCGAAAGCAAAAACACACACTTCAACTCCCAAGGGAGGATGCTAATCCTTCGAGTACAACTGATGAGTCTCGAGTACAACTGATGAGTCTCGAGTAGGTGAAGTTTCGGCTCGCGATGCACTCGGTTTCCCTCTAGTGACGAAAACGTTACCAGAAAGAACAAGAAGCACAAACAGCGCCGCAACCAAGGGACCAAATGGACATTCAGAATCACGGAGTGCGGGTAGTAAACCGCAACCGAAATCGAAAAAGGGTAAATGGTGTTGCGCTCCAAGCTATCCACACAGGATCCATGGCAGCACATGCTCCAAACAATCCACACAGGATCCATGACAGCACATGCGGAGATTCGTCAACTCGCCCTCCTGATCTGTTCTTATGCGGAGGCAACTCATCAGAACCCGCATCACCTCTGCATAATACTGAGAAAAGGTGCAGGTCCGTTGGTGCGGGCTGACTCCGGCAAAAAGAGAGAAAAGCCCCCTGCAGCGATAGTCCAAATCCAAAAGTGGTGGCAGGGTATTCTGCCACTCCGCACACACACGCCCCTCAGCGAGGGGCAATTGTTTTGCATCCGGAAGGCCAAATCAGCAAGTTCCTAAAGTCAACCAAAATATCCGAAGCGGTGAGGAGAACGTGAATTAGCACGGCCAGCTCGGGGGGCGCTCAGAAGACAGGCACCCAGGATCATGTGGAGCTGGAAGTTGTGCGACACAATGCAAGGTCAACGGTGGCAATCCGGACGGAAAGATCAAGTCATCCGGAAGACCAAATCAGCGTGTTCGTAATGTTTACCAAAATATCCGAAGCGGTGAGGAGAACGTGAATTAGCACGGTCAGGATCGAGGCTGGGGCCAGGAGCTGACGGGTCCTCCATTCACTTTGAAGGACTGAGGAGCTCCTCGTCCTTCAGGATGTTGATGGCGGACTTGATGTCCGTGTTGTGGGCCCAATAAAATGGTGAGATCGGCTGAGTGCGGAAGTTGTCAGGAAGTCTGTGACGCGGCAAAAGAGGACTCCGTAGTGGTTGCCATGGGTGTCCTTTTTGGCTGGTTCGAAGCGATGACAGGCCTCGAAGTTTTCCGAATATACAGCCAGGACTCCCAGCTGAATGCCAAGTTGACCAGGCAGGTCATCCACCGGTCAGCTCGAAGACGCTCAGAAGACAAAGCCGAAAGCCGAAGTCAAAGCCGAAGACAAAGCCGAAGTCAAAGCCGAAGTCAAAGCCGAAGACAAAGCCGAAGCCAAAGGCGAAGTCAAAGTCGACGTCAAAGCCGAAGTCAAAGCCGAAGTCAAAGCCGAAGTCAAAGGCGAAGTCAAAGCCGAAGTCAAAGCCGAAGTCAAAGCCGAAGTCAAAGCCAAAGTCAAAGCCGAAGACAAAGCCGGGGTCAAAGCCGAAGTCAAAGGCGAAGCCAAAGCCGAAGTCAAGGCCGAAGTCAAAGCCGAAGTCAAAGGCGAAGTCAAAGCCGAAGTCAAAGCCGAGTCAAAGCCGAAGTCAACGCCGAAGTCAAAGCCGAAGTTGAAGTCATCAACAAAATTCAAGGTTCACATGCAAGCGAATCAAAGGCGAAGTCAAAGCCGAAGTCAAAGCCGAAGTCAAAGCCGAAGTCAAAGCCGAAGTCAAAGGCGAAGTCAAAGCCGAAGTCAAAGCCGAAGTCAAAGCCGAAGTCAACGCCGAAGTCAAAGCCGAAGTCGAAGTCATCAACAAAAGTCAAGGTTCACATGCAAGCAAATCAAAGGCGAAGTCAAAGCCGAAGTCAAAGCCGAAGTCAAAGGTGAAGTCAAAGCCGATCAAAGCCGAAGTCAAAGCCGATGTCAGAGCCGAAGTCAGAGCCGAAGTCAAAGCCGAAGTCAACGCCAAAGTCAAAGCCGAAGTCGAAGTCATCAACAAAAGTCAAGGTTCAAATGCAAGCAAATCAAAGGCGAAGTCAAAGCCGAAGTCAAAGCCGAAGCCAAAGGCGAAGTCAAAGGCGAAGTCGAAGCCGATGTCAAAGCCGAAGTCAAAGCCGAAGTCAAAGCCGAAGTCAAAGCCGAAGTCAAAGCCGAAGTCTAGGCAGTCACAAGGAACTCGCCGTAGAAGTCGTTGGCGCCGTTGGAGGGGTTCCGGGTAAAGGCAGTGAAAATGTCCGGCAAATGAAGGTCAAGTCAACGTGCAAGTCCAATGAAGCAAAACAAGGCAATGGCAAGCAAGTTTTCAACCACAAGTCGTCGAGGACGAACCTGAGCAAGGTCCATGCAGTCCAGCCATCATAAGAGCTGCAGGCGGAATCCCCACGTAGCTGGGAACAGCAATTGATGAGCGAAGCTTCCATCTCCATCCTTGCTACACTCCCCGTTTGGTGACGGGTCCTTGATCCAGTTTGGAGGTCTGATGAGCTCCTCGTCCTTCAGGATGTGGATGGCGGACTTGATGTCCGTGTTGTGGGCCCAATAGAATGGTGAGATCGACTGAGTGTGGAAGTTGTCAGAAAGTCTGCGACGCGGCTTGAAGTAAAAGACGACTCCGCGGTGGTTGCCATGGGTGTCCTTTTTGGCTGGTTCGAAGCGATGACAGGCCTCGAAGTTTTCCGAATATACGGCCAGCACTTCTCCAAGACTCCCAGCTGAATGCCAAGTTGATCAGGCAGGTCATCCACCGGTCAGCTCGAAGACGCTCAGAAGACAAAGCCGAAGTCAAAGCCGAAGTCAAAGCCGAAGTCAAAGCCGAAGTCGAAGCCGAAGTCAAAGCCGAAGTCAAAGCCGAAGTCGAAGCCGAAGTCAAAGCCGAAGACAAAGCCGAAGTCAAAGCCGAAGTGAAAGCCGAAGTCAAAGCCGAAGTCAAAGCCGAAGTCAAAGCCGAAGTCAAAGCCAAAGTCAAAGCCGAAGTCAAAGCCGAAGTCAAAGCCGAAGTCGAAGTCATCAACAAAAGTCAAGGTTCACATGCAAGCAAACATGTCATGAAGCAAAGCAACCACATGCCAACACAACGCCCAACGAAGATGGCTGTGCTGTATCAACGCAAAAGTCAAGGTTCACATGCAATCAAAATCAAAGGCGAAGTCAAAGCCGAAGTCAACGCCGAAGTCAAAGCCGAAGTCAAAGGCGAAGTCAAAGCCGAAGTCAAAGCCGATGTCAAAGCCGAAGCCAAAGCCGAAGTCAAAGGAGAAGTCTAGGCATTCACAAGGAACTCGCCGTAGAAGTCGTTGGCGCCGTTTGAGGGGTTCCGGGCAAAGGCATCCACTCAGGATGTTGATGGCGCCATGTCCGAAGCGGCCGCAAAATCAAAGGCGAAGTCAAAGCCGAAGTCAAAGCCGAAGTCAAAGCCGAAGTCAAAGCGGAAGTCAAAGCCGCAGTCAAAGCCGAAGTCAAAGCCGAGGTCAAAGCCGATGTCAAAGCCGAAGTCAAAGCCGAAGTCAAAGCCGAAGTCAAAGCCGAAGTCAAGGCCGAAGTCTAGGCAGTCACAAGGAACTCGCCGTAGAAGTCGTTGGCGCCGTTGGAGGGGTTCCGGGCAAAGGCATCCACTTTGAAGGTCTGGTGAGCTGCTCGTCCTTCAGGATGTTGATGGCGACATGTCCGAAGCGGCTGCAAAATCAAAGGCGAAGTCAAAGCCGAAGTCAAAGCCGAAGTCAAAGCCGAGGTCAAAGCCGAAGTCAAAGCCGAAGTCAAAGGCGAAGTCAAAGCCGAAGTCAAAGCCGATGTCAAAGCCGAAGTCAAAGCCGAAGTCAAAGCCGAAGTCAAAGCCGAAGTCAAAGCCGAAGTCTAGGCAGTCACAAGGAACTCGCCGTAGAAGTCGTTGGCGCCGTTGGAGGGGTTCCGGGTAAAGGCAGTGAAAATGTCCGGCAAATGAAGCTCAAGGCAACGTGCAAGTCCGATGAATTAAATAAAACAAGGCAATGGCAAGCAAGTTTTCAATCACAAATCGTCGAGGACGAACCTGAGCAAAGTCCATGCATTCCAGCCATCATAAGAGGTGCAGGCGGACCGGAATCCCCACGTAGCTGGGAACAGCAATTGATGAACGAAGCTTCCATCTCCCATCCGTGCTACACTCCCCGTTTGGTGACGGGTCCTCGATCCACTTTGAAGGTCTGATGAGCTCCTTGTCCTTCAGGATGTGGATGGCGGACTTGATGTCCGTGTTGTGGGCCCAATAGAATGGTGAGATCGACTGAGTGTGGAAGTTGTCAGAAAGTCTGCGACGCGGCTCAAAGTAAAAGAGGACTCCGTGGTGGTTGCCATGGGTGTCCTTTTTGGCTGGTTCGAAGCGATGACAGGCCTCGAAGTTTTCCGAATATACGGCCAGCACTTCTCCAAGACTCCCAGCTGAATGCCAAGTTGATCAGGCAGGTCATCCACCGGTCAGCTCGAAGACGCTCAGAAGACAAAGCCGAAGTCAAAGCCGAAGTCAAAGCCGAAGTCAAAGCCAAAGTCAAAGCCGAAGTCAAAGCCGAAGTCAAAGCCGAAGTCGAAGCCGAAGTCAAAGCCGAAGACAAAGCCGAAGACAAAGCTGAAGTCAAAGCCGAAGTCAAAGCCGAAGTCAAGGCCGAAGTCAAAGCCGAACAAAGCCGAAGTCAAAGCCGAAGTCAAAGCCGAAGTCGAAGCCGAAGTCAAAGCCGAAGTCAAAGCCGAAGTCGAAGTCATCAACAGCTGCGTGTGAGACGTCACAATGATCTTGTGGCTGTCTTCCCTTTAGTGAAACCTCGTTCCTGCTTAAACGTGAAATTCCGCTGGACTATGATAAGAACGTTGATGTCAAATTTTCCGGCGAACCGGCCCGGGGTCACACGATGGGTACACCCGAGGTTCCCCCAAGTTGGGGTGATCACACTTCAACTCCCAAGGGAGGATGCTAATCCTTCGAGTACAACTGATGAGTCTCGAGTAGGTGAAGTTTCGGCTCGCGATGCACTCGGTTTCCCTCTAGTGACGAAAACTTTACCAGAAAGAACAAGAAGCACAAACAGCGCCGCAACCAAGGGACCAAATGGACATTCAGAATCACGGAGTGCGGGTAGTAAACCGCAACCGACATCGAAAAAGGGTAAATGGTGTTGCGCTCCAAGCTATCCACACAGGATCCATGGCAGCCCATGCTCCAAGCTATCCACACAGGATCCATGGCAGCACATGCGGAGTTTCGTCAACTCGCCCTCCTGATCTGTTCTTATGCGGAGGCAACTCATCAGAACCCGCATCACCTCCGCAGAATACTGAGAAAAGGTGCAGGTCCGTTGGTGCGGGCTGACTCCGGCAAAAAGAGAGAAAAGCCCCCTGCAGTGATAGTCCAAATCCAAAAGTGGTGGCAGGGTATTCTGCCACTCCGCACACGCACACACACGCACACGCACACGCACACGCACACGCACACCCACACACACACACACACACACACACACACACACACACACACACACACACACACACACACACACACGCGCTCTCAGACACGCTCCCAGACTGGGCGCGCGGCGGTTGGGCAACCAGCACTGCCATTGTCATGAGAGGTGTCCCTAATGGACAGTGACATTCTGGTCTAAGCAACTCCTCGACAGCACCCACGGTCCACAAACAGTTACCGCGGGGCAGGTCTTCGCCAGACCTATCGCGGCTGGAGCCGAGAAAGATTGTATGCAGGGAACGTAGACTCTGACAGCATCTGCCATTGTTTGTAGTTCAAGTTGCAATGTGTTGCAATATTTGGGAAATGCACAGCACCACTTTGTTCAAAGGCCTGTCCTCCCCCCAACTCCCCCCGCCCAACTTTGCCCCACTTTTTCCCCGAGCGCGACACCGCCGCGCCCCTCACCGCGAGCTCTTCGCCTCAAAACGGCACACGCCCCACCCCCCGCCCCGCCCCCAATTAGCGACGCTAGGCACGCGGCCTTGGCCTTAGCAGTCTTTGTGCCATTGACTTCAGCCTGCAGAGAGACGTGAGATGCCGGATGGGATCCAAAGCCCACCAAGCGGCGTTTGGGCTCCGGGGGGGGAGTTCCGACCCTGGCTGACCTCTTTCAATGCTGACGCTGCGGCTGAACAACGTCGATGGGCAGACACCGGTTCTTCTCAAGGGCCAGATCTTGTGCCAGGCATCGCGCAATACAAAACCTTTGCAACGGCCTCCACGTACCCACCTCCTCCGTAGCAAAACAGAATGTGAGGGTGATGGAGTGGTAGAGGAGAAGGCCTTGAAGTTAATGTTGCTTTGGACTCATCTTCGGAACTCTCTAGAAATCAATCCCCACACTCAAAAGGAACCACTGGTATGGTCGTCCGGAATCCCAATGTTTGCACAGCAGGCCGAGGTTTGGTCTATTGGACCTGGCATTTTGAGCCCCAATCCCACGAAATTTGGGGCCTATTTTCATTTGCTTGCGGCGGTTTGGCAAGTGTGAGTGCAACTCGCTTCACGACAATGGACGGCGAGAATATGGGTGAGCAGAAATAGGTAACTCTTCAAGCGGGGTTCCTCTTTGTTTACCCTTGGTTTCCCTTTAGACTGCGCACCGGGCGGTGAATGTGTGCGGGCAAGCCACAAACGAAGCCAAAGGTTGGTCCGGTTTCCAAGCTAAAAGTCAAACGGTGATCCTCTTGCCAGAAAATCAAGTGCATCCGAGGGCATTTCTCAAATTACTTGTGATTCAACTGGAAGCTGGCGCTCCCTCCCCCAGGTCTCAAATCACAGCCTGCTGGTGCTGATTTGCAAAAAACCGGCAGGCCACTGACACAAGCAAAACATTCGCTCGGATGCCACTCCAAAGGCCTGGCTCGTGTTGCCTTCGGAGGGCCTGAGCTTGCAGCGTGCGCTGCGAAGAAAGTGGGCACCAAGCCGAAAACCTTACTATATTGCAAGGGCAACCCTTCCAATTGCATCCTACGAGGCGCATTGGAGGTCTGTAGGTAGCACGCCCCAAGTTCAGCTCGGATCTTTGGCTTTGGCGGTTCCAGCCCGAATTCCAACAGATTTTCACATGCGAAGCACCCCAAGGCTCCAGGCTCGGCGACCAGGTGCCCAAAGCTGTGCAGCCTGGCCCCAGGGTTCAGAGATTTGGTGAAAGTCCAGAATCCTCTTGTTTGGATCCTCTCTGGGCTCCTTTGCCCAGCAAAGCCGGGCCTCAGGAACTTATGGATCTCCGGAGCACGCACCGCCAGGCGCAAGAAGTTGCCCCGGCCTCGGGCCGGGCGACTCGCCGACTCGGCTCCCTGACTCGGCTGGGCGACGTGGTGATGGGTGCGCGGCCCGTGGGGATGCAATGCGAAAGAAGGGCCGGGCTTGGACCACCCCAAGCACAAAAGAGATCAGAATTTGTGATCGCAACGTCCCTGAAGCACACAGCAAGTCCAAAGAAATCCATGGTGGTTCCAAGCACAAGGCTGCCTTTCAAAAGAAACCAACCATGGGCAAGGACAGGCACTGGCCCCATTTACTCTGGTTCCGAGAGTCAGCAGCAAGACTTGATGCCTCTTTTCAATCCAGCCAACCCCTTGGCACCTGCGCATGGGCCCGGGCCCACGTTGGTCAGCGAGCCACGAGAGTCCGTCAGCGAGTGGAGGGCAATGACCTCCACAGGCTGAAGAACGTGAAGAGGAACATCCGCCCAAAAAGAATCCCCTATGCAACCTCAAGCTGATGGTCTTCCAGAGGTTTTTTTCTGGCGCACGTCCATTCCAAACCTTCAAGTCAAACCTGGGACTGCGGCCTCGTACCTCTGGCGCTCCGGGGAGAAGCGGAACACTGCGCTGCCCGAGCTGCCCGGGTTCCCGAAGACCTGCGCGAAGCGGCGTGTGAACCTCTCAATGAAGAAAACGACGCAACCCCAACTGGCGGACGCCTGGGACAGCATGAGCCCGATGCCCGCCCTCTGCTCGGAGAGGGAGGCCACATGGCCTCCACGATCGATCCGCGATCGGTGAAGCCTGTCCCACTTATCGCCCTGTTTGGCAGTGGTGTTCGATGGGAAACACAAGGATGAAGCACCAAAAAGGAAAGCCAAAAGCAAAAAGCCAGTCATGAGCCAAAGTGCACCAAATTTTGACCATGTCCAAACATCTCGCAACAAGCAGCGTTTGACAGGATGCAGCACATCCAAGCATCCCCATACCCATCTTCTTCTTGGCGTGGACCCCTCTATATGTCCAAAGCCCAAAGCATTCGTGCCTCGCCTAGGGTCGGCAGCGGCACCTCCGAGGCGTCTGGGCAGCCCACCATGACCACCTCGTCAAGGGGCCGCACCTGGCGATTGGTTCTGGAGACAATCCACGACTGCCTTGGTTTGGAGTTTGCCATGTGCCCTGAGGTTTACTCGACTAGCACCAGCCATGGAGAAAAGCAAAGATCGCATGGGATGATGTACTCACTGCCATGTGGATCAAAATCCCTCGGTCTCTTGGCCTTCCGTTTCATGCCATATTAGGATGGAGAAGTGTAGTTTCAGCCTCAAAAGGCACCGAATGACGAAACTTTCTATAGCCTGTAAAAGAGACGCGTATCCTCAAACCACATCCATATGGGATGGACACTTTGGTGGACTGGTTTACACGGAGATCTGTGTCCACTCACTATGTTGGATGGTATCCAACCATTGATACTGGTACCCTATATTGCGTTTTCAACAATAGCCAGTTTCCTCGTGGCACGCCTTGAAACCAACAGTCCCAAAATGGGCCAAATGGATCCCGTTCTTTCTAAACCCCCACGTGAGGGGAGTTCACAAGCAGTTCCTGATTATGCCAACAAAAGGGCCGCGAAAAAAGATAAGAAGCAAAAAACCTCGTAAGCAGCCCTCATAGGCGAGAAATCTGCGGTTCCTGCAAGGGGCATGAAAAATAGTTGTGGAAAATTTACACCACACACACACACACACACCCATGCATGAATCCCAAATGGATCATGGACCACTGGGAAGTTTGTTCGACCCTCAGAAGGACAGCCCTGCTCCAAATTTCAGCACATCTCTCAAAGTAAGGGGACCCTCAGCATGGTGTGTGTTTCCTTTTGGCTTCCCTTACATATCTGAAGGTCCCCTGCCAGAGAGAAACCCCGAGCCACGCCGAAGCCACGTCGCGCGCGTCCTCATCGAAGTCCTCCTCCCCGATGAGCGCGCAGGCCGGGATGTCCACCGGCGCCTTGAGCTTCAGCAGCGCCAGGTCCCCCTGCGAGAGGAGCTGGGGACTTGGCGTGCGTCGAACAAACTTCCCAGTGGTCCATCCATTTGGGATTCATAGGGGGGGGGTTTTACACCTATTTTTCGTACCCCTGGCAGGAACCGCGCTCGAAGGTTCTTCTTTTTGGGGGGGATGCGCGGGGGAGAAAATCGGGGGTGGCATGGAAGGGCTGGGGGAAGGGCTAGGGGGAAGGCGAGCGTCGCTGCGAGGGTGCCCATGCGCAGTTCTGCGCAGAGCTGCGCATGTCTTGCCAGGAAGAAGGAATCAGAAGGAACGCGCAAGAGAACCAAAGGTGACAAAGGCGCAGAAGAAGGCCAAAGAGGCGCCTGCACGCATCGTCATACTGATCAATTGGGGGTAGTCAGGACCCTCTGTCTCTCCGCTCTCTCTGTCTCCGTCTGTCTCTCTCTGTCTCCGTCTGTCTCTGTCTGTCTGTCTGGCATTCCCCCAAAAGAGAGTGACTCCTTGCGGTGGGGACTCCTTGCGGGGTCATTTGGCGGGCCTTTCGAACCCTGCCATTCTGCTTTCGCCTGGCCTCCCAGCCTCAAAGCTCCACTGGTCGCCATACTGCCGGTAGGCCACAATATCCGCAGATGTCACAACCTCAGATGGACTGATCCAGCACTGATCCAGCCCTCCCAACCCTACTCTCCCAACCCTCCCAAGCCTCCCAACCGTCCCAACCCTCCCAACCCTCCCAACCCTCCCAACCCTCCCAACCCTCCCAAGCCACCAAGTCGGCAACAAAAAGCTGCTCCGCCTCCCCGAATCTAGGCATTGCGCCGTCTGCAGGTGTCGGCCATGCCTCAGAGCGCCGGAGCGACCCAATCAATGTGCGTGGCACATGGCTCAGCTTCACAGCTGCTTTGAACTTGGTAACGGGATAACTGCACAGGACCACACCTGCAAGTTACTTTGATGCCAGCCATGGAGGGAATCTATAAGCCTGGAGCACGTTCCGCTCTGAAGAAATCGAGCTTGTTCCTTCCCTGCCATGAAGCTGGAAGAAAGAATCCGCCGGGGCGCGGGTCGTACAAGAAGGTCTCCACGCTCGGATGCATGAACTGCTCCACCTGCCGTCAGTTCTTTTCACGACTTCCCACACCAGAGTAGTCGAAGAAATATCATGCAAAGGGCAACTAGCAAGCAAAATGATGACGAGGCGCATTGTGAGTGGAAATGCGAATAAATTTGAAGCTTGCAAAGCAAGCGGCGGGCACAGTTGGTCATTCCCCTTCATCCAAGGACACTTGCAAGAGCCTCTGGCAAGGTGTCCCTAAGAGCGCGCTTCACATTGGGCAAAGGCCAGTGATCCGTGCTCCCCCTCCTTGGTTCCCCCCCGCCTTCTTGGAGGACTTCTCAACAGGGTCCCAGCCTTTGCGCAGCTCGCAAAACGGTTGGCTTCCTTGGGGGGCTCTTGTCGAACCAAAGCCAAACAGGGGGTCGACAAGCACGAACACATCCACTGGCCTTCTGAAACCCGATCCTACGTGTTTTCTTGGCAAGTGCACATCATATTGCCTACATTGATACGGTCGCCCCACCCGGATTTCCCCCTCCGAGCCTCGACACCCCAAAAAGCTCAGGACTCTTCCCGCGCAAAAAATGCCCAGCAAACTGGCAAATCGCAGAATTGTCTGTGCGTTTGTATGATGTTTTATGCGTCGCCCCTCCCCACATCGAGGAGCCGACGGTCGATCTGCTTGATGCAATCCCTGATGACGTGATGGCAGGTAAGGACCTGAGAGGAGACCCTTCGCCAACAAAAACAGACACCAACTCCCGAAAAATAAGCGCCGTGGAGGCCGCATGGCCCATAGTGTTGATACTCTCCCCTTGACTTTGTCATGCTCAATGTCGGCGCCGGGTCGACAAGCCTCCCCCACCCAAGCATGGTAAGAAACCTCCGCATCGAAGATAGAAACATGGCACTCTTGCCAACGGCTGGTTAAACGCTTCGAGCGGTTCAACCATCATTGCAGATCCAACCCGTTCCGGTGGGGTCATTGAGGGGACAACAGAAGGAGGCAAAAGGATTTTGGTCAACCAAGCAGGATGCGCCCTTTGGGCCCTTGGCGTAGGTGCCCTCCTTCTGTGCCAGCACCACAGCCGAGCCCTGCGATGCGTCAAACAGAAACTGGGAACTGGGCTCCAACTGGGCACCAACTGGGCACCAACTGGGCAAAGGGCCCTAGTGAAAATGGATTCAATTTCAAGGGAACCTAAAAGGACATCAAACACCTGGATGGGGTCCAGCAAAGATTAATCTTCCTGTATTAAATTGAATGAGTCAAAGTTTGAGATGCCTGCACGCAAACAAGATTGCTCTTCGAGGTTACTATTGTCAAGAACTCTGATGCAATCGAAAGATTGAAATAATCCAGAAGACTATTGTTCTATTCAACAAGTTTCGCTTCACTCTACTTGGCAGCCAGGCAAATATGCTTCACGGGTGTCCAGGTTTTTGCTAACTGGCATGATGGTGCCAATCACAGGTGTTTCATGCCGTGGATGATACGTGCGGCTCCAAATTTGGGATGTTTCGTCGGAGGCAAAGTCTAGAGGGATTTCAGCTCGTTTGAAACACTCCAGTTTCCAGAGGTTGTCTCCACACATGCAGTGATCAAGAAAGCGACAACCGCTTGGCCGGCCTGCCTGCTTACCATCGTGGCTTACTACTTTGGCTGCCGGAAGGATCATCCTGCCATTGGATTGATCGGATGGTGCATCCAGAAATCAAAAGCAGCTGAAAAAGCGAATGTGTGCCGCGAATTCCAGGCACTCCGTGACATGGGTCCATGTCTTGGAAGGCGACGCGGGGGGGAGCAAGCCAGAATGACTCGTCATACAACACTATGTCAAACCCGGCTGCATGGTCAAACAGGCCAGGGGCTCTGATCTCGCCGCCGCTCCCACTGTTCATCTGCAAGGGAGAGTTGGGGGGGGGGGTGTTCTGGCTGGTCCGGGCAGCAATAGTGTGGACGTGGCGTCGAGCGTGGAAAGCACAAGAGGTCAGAGAGAGACAGAGAGAGAGAGAGAGAGAGAGAGAGAGAGAGAGAGAGAGAGAGAGAGAGAGAGAGAGAGAGAGAGAGAGCGAGAGAGAGAAGGCAGCTCTTAGGAGGTTGCGCTACAACATGCTCGGGACGTGATTGCTATTTCTCACCATCCACCACGAAGCCCGAGTGCCCTCCTGGGTACTGTGCTCACATTGTCTGGCACAAATCCCGAAGATTCAAAACTCAAAACCCCCAAACAGGCTGCCACACAATGGGCGACGCTCCTCCCTCCCGCCCAATGGTATCCCATAGAGAACCGGCCTGGGGAGAGCTCCCCATTGCCTCGGAAAGCTGGAGGACCCATATATGACCTATGAGCCACGGAGAATTCTAGTTCCCCAAAAGGACATGGGCACATCCGGTTGCCCCCCTTTATCCTCCCAAACTAACCAACCAACCGACCGACCGACCGACCCGGCCCCCCATCAATTGAGCTTCCAGCTTAGCACCCGCTGAAACGCCCCAAATCTGAGCCAAAGCGCTGGCTGCCGCCTTCGCCTTCGGCTTCGCCTTCGGCTTCACCTTCGCCTTCTCCTTGGCTTCCTTCAGGCTCCGTCACCATTCACGAGCTCTTGGTTGGGACTTGCCTGAAGTGATAACCAGGTGATAACACCAACTTTTGAACAGAAAAAGACACATGTGCCCATAGGCCCCGCATGGCCCCGCCTTCTTCGCCTTTGACTCCTTGACCTTCTCGGCTTGGCAGAGCACCCCCACGCTCCGCTTGCCCGCGGCCGGCGGTGTCAGGGCCCTGAGGCGGCGCCCTTCAGCCCCTCTACTGGACTTGCGCTGCCAACCAAGGGCAGGCAAGCCAAAAAAGCATGGACCAAAAAGGCGGGCTCGCCAAAATCACAACCACCAAGTGCCCACAGATCAGGCTGGAAGGAGCTTGGAATCGTAGCAACTCACAAAAGGACACCCAACGCCTATCCCTGCAATGCAATCAGTCGGGACAAAGTCATGCAAGCTGTCTGCAAATACCCCCCGAGCAGCAAAGCTTACGATTCATGAGGTGCATTGAGACAGTCTCTACTCAGACACCAACTATCAGTCACTCAGCCCTGCCTGCCATTCTGCCCACAGAATGCTAGGGCCAGGAAGATTCCAATGCATCGAATTGGGCACAACCTCTTGCTTGCTTGTCGCCGCGCATTGGCCAACGCCATGGCGAGCACAGCGTTGGCATAGGTTGCGTGAATGAGCTTCGAAGCCAGCTTCCCACTGGTCTATGATGCCAACTAAGAATTAAGTATTCAGCAAGTACGCGTTCGTCAGCATGCCCTGTTGTATGTGGTGTGCGATTTGTAGTATGTTCTCTATGCTAGATGGCCACGTCAGTAAGACTCAAGTATCTCTTTGTGTCTGAGCACGAGTGATGTCTGCCATGCTGAATAGATTCCGTTTGGCCGCCGAACCGGACGCAACACCATCTGTCTGTGCACGTTGAAAGAACGCCCACATGTAGCCAGGGGTGTCCTCACTTCCCGACTCCCCTCAAATCTGAGCCGAAACATGTATAGCTTCGGTGCCAAGCCCACTGTCTCTCTCCGAGTCTCCCGAGTTGGGACGTGGTCAACGGGTCATGAAGATCCTTTACAAGGGATGTGCCGCCGTGCCCCGAATGGAAGGAACTACGGGCAAGGACCAGTTCTATTTGCGGTTGGGAATGTCGGCATGGAACTTGGTTCTACTTCCCACAAAGAATCAAAGTGCCTGAACAGAATTGCTGACGCAATGGGCCATGGTTGGCGACACTGGCCCACCCGTCCTGAACAATGTTGCATGGCTCTTCACAGGAAGTTGACCTCTTTGATCCTCAACATCAGCAGCAAAGCAAAAAGCGGGACTGGGGGCTTTTCTGCCATGGCAGGATCTGCTCTCCAAGGAGCTCCACATCAGAGAGGCTCTGACAACTACTCTGTAAGCTGCCAGGCAAACCGAAACACCCGACTCTTCGAGTGCCTCAAAATGACGGAATGGATGGGGGGTCTCACGAATATGAGTTGCCCATCCTGGGACAAGCCCCTTCTTTCAAGGAAAGCACTTGCGGCTCGAGTGTTGCCACTCTCGGAGATTTGAATCTTGAGGCTTGAGGCTTGAGGCTTGAGGCCTTCTGGCAATGCGTGACATGCTTGATATGAAGACCCAATCTCCAGCACCCCTCCCGGAGGAAAGAACGCAGTGCCATGGCTGCTGGACCTCAAAACAGGAATGAGTCAAAACCTCCAACTTGCGGGCCCCGTGTGAGCCTTTCTCCCTTTGAGGCCTCCTGCCAGCTTTCATGGAGAACCCATTTGAACCCGCTGGCCCAAACGTCAGGTTCCAAAGCCAAAGCGGCTCGCGGCCCGGCACGGTCCTAGTCTGGCCTTGGGGAGCGAGCTGCACATGCTCAAGTTGGTCTGTATGCTGACCCTCTCCAAGAGAAACAAGGCCTTGGGTCTTCGGGTGTCAGGTTCAGTACCCTGTGTTGGCCTGGTTTTGAAGGGACGATGGGCTTTCTGTTGGGAGGGCTCCAAGTTCGTCAAAAAAAACGCACTCAGAAAACGGGGGCGGTTGGTTGTTCAGGGGTCGACCTTGTTGGGCAGGGTTGGGAACCCTTTGGATGGTTTCGGAGCTGGTTGCATGCCTGAAACTGCACCGAGTCCTTTGTTCGGTCTGATTGCACCCTCCCACATGTTTGTCTGGGCCTCCGCGCGCTCCGTCGCGGTCCAACGGCAGCACACGGTCCAGGAGGCCGTGCCAAAAGAACTGGGGTCAGAGAGCATTCCCATGTCCTTCCCCTTGGGAAGTGGGGTTGCCGAGCGGTGGCTGTTTCGGGAAAAGCTCGAAAGTAATCAAAGTCAGAGTTCTGGGGTTGCGGGGAAAAAGAAAAAGAAGAAAAGGTTTGAGCGCGGAAACAAGCGGTCTGTTAGAGGCGTCGAAGTGGCTGTGGATGAGGGAGAGCAATGCGCAAGAAAATCCCCCGAAGCGAAACAGCTCCGTCAGGCTGTCGCAGATTCCGCACACCACAACGGCAGAATTGACTTTTGCACAAGAGATGGCATGCAGAAAGCTAGCATGTTCCCGGAACAAGAAGCATTGAGAAGACACGCGTTCAAAAGTCAAGAACATCTGGGAGATGCTTTGCTATGTCCTGCTCTGCATTGCTAGGGAAAATAAAGTCCTCGGCTGCAACAAGCCCCTCTCGCCTCGATCTTCTTGTCGAACACATGCTCTTCAGCACGCTGCGTGAGGCAAACGATCTGTATCATCAACTGGCCAGGCAGCGAGATCCCGAGAAAGGTACTGATACCGAAATGGGGAACCCTCGGTCGCTCCACGCACGTGATTCACGGTCCCACCAATTGCAAGTGTTCCGGTTCCCCACTAAGAACAGAGCCCTGCTTGTCATCAACCAGGGTCAAATCAAATGGAACAAATTCCTTGGGTCTCGGCTTGCTTCTTGCCTGCTGCTGATGTGGCGATGCTTGGTAGATTTGCTGAAACCTCAGCGAGGGAAGGGAGAACCAGATCATGCAAAGATGCAAAAGGGCAAGCAGAAAGAATCCTGGCCAAAAAACCACTGCAGGGACAATCACATCAAGTCATGTAAAATAACCACGATTCCAACACAAAAGCTTGCTTCATCCTGACCTCCTGATACAGGGTCCAAGTTACACGAGTGCCTTGATCTTAACATGCAACGCTTTGGCCGATTGCCAGGCGGCTGCAACAAGGACTGCAGCTGCGCCAAGGTCTGCAGCTGTGGCTGCCCCAGCGGAACTGGCGGCATCCACAGGGGGCCCTGCCCCAACATCCCCGGCGGCGCCGGCGCCGGCGCTGCCGCCGCGGCCGGCGCGGCCGGCACGGCGGGTGCGGCGGGGGCGGCAGGCACGGCAGGCACGGGCACGGCGGCTGCCGCCATGGCCGCCGCCGCTGGCACGGGCACGGCGGCTGCCGCCATGGCCGCCGCCGCTGTCGGGGTGGGCTGGAAGCCTCGGGGACGGAAGGCGAGCGAAAACAAGTGGTGCTGGCTATGCGGTTGCGACGTCATGCTCTTTCAGTGCTGTCAGTTTCAATTTGTTGCCCCAGGTCTGGCGTTTTGGCTAAGGTGACCACCAGGCGCTGGCTCGTCTTTGGCATCCAGGAAGTTCCTGGGTGACTTGGCTTGTGATTCGCGACACCACGCCTCTCAAAGTGTGCTGAGCTGAGGCCGCCGCAGCACACTCTCGACTTGAGACCAAACTCGAGCCGAGTCCTGAGCATCCACGAAGCTTGTGGAAATACGCTTGCCGTGTCTTTGATGCTCACATTGTTTGATGCAGCGTGCAACTCAGATGCCTTGCCATCACCCTCGCAGTCTTCCATGTCTGCCTGCAAGGCGTCATGCTCGTTTGTTTTCCTTCAATGGCAGTTCTGAGCAATTGCCCCCATAAAATGTCTTCAATGGCTCCCAATTAAAGACATGACTGTTGGATGTGCATGGCAAGACACACGCAAAATCAGCTTCTCTAGAGCCTCAAGCCTGCGCAAAGATTCTGATCTTATCAATCGGCCCTGCAAACCTCAATATGCTGAGCCAAGCGGCAAAACTAATATTCTGATGTTCAACAAGCGCGTGTTGCAGAATCCCTGCGGCGGCTTTCTGCCTTTGACCTATGAAACATCCCTGAACAGACCGAAACTACGCAAGCACAACATCGAAGGCTGCCACAAGTCGCAGAAGCCAATTGCTCAAAGAATCAGGCTGCCTGGGATATTGCGGTCCAGAGCTCTGCCTTTTTGTGACCCCCCCCCCTCGCACACCAAACTGCCCGACTGAAAGCCACTTGCGTGATACCCCTTGCCTTCAAAGGATTCCAGCAGTACATGCCCCGGCAAATCAGTAGCGCCATGACCTGAGCCGGGGCTTTGGCGCTTCTTGGCCCTTGATGCCGTTACCTCTCCTCCCTCTTCCCCGAAATGGAGAAAGGACAGTGCTGATGCCTCCCTTCAAAATCTGAGCTGGCCTTTTGATACTGTTGCCAAGCACTATGCAACATAGCTTGATTGAATCTTTTGAACCTGCCGCATGTCCAATGAAATGCTGTTCCGCCGCCTCTCAGCAACAACTCCCAGGTGGCATTCTTTGTTTGTCTTGCGGGTTGAAGAAGACCCCAACAAACCACTGCACCTGTCTGTCCCCAGCCTCACAAAAATGTCAGGTCGCCGATTCTCAAACAACAACACGGGAGCGGGCAGGATCCAGGGAAGACACAGACGCGAATTCTTTGCGAACAACCCGCAAAAAAGGCCAAACCTGCCAGCAACTCTGGGCAGGAAAAGCAGCCCTCCGCGCCTTCTTCGCATCAATCTTCTTCTGACACGCAAGCCTCTCGTACAGCCGAACTCTGGAATGAGACGCTTCCCATGTCAGCCCCAGGCTATTCCCCCAAAAAAAAGATGGCAACAAATGCCATTTTTGGGAGTCAGAAGGCACCAACCACAGCCAAAGACTCTAAGCCACCGCGCAAAACAAAACGAACAAAAAAAAAAAAGAAGAAGAACAAAACCAAGCGTTGCCTTGGGTGGAGGGGTCTTGCTCTCCGCTTCCTGACCCCTGCGCCTCGCCAGCTCCCTGGCCCGCACCATCGTGGCCTGAGGAGTCGTGGTGGGGGGGAGGGAGGGCCGAGGTCCGGGCAAAAGGGGGGGACAAAGATAGCTTGCCCAGGCCCAAAAAATCGACCTTCGTGCTCCTTGGGTTCTTGGCGCAATCCAGCCTGCCGACCGCGCAAGAAAACGCGCGCGCACGACAAAACACCCATTGTGTGCCCATTCCTCCCCTTGCCACTTTTCCTGGGAGGTCTTTTGACCAGAAACCCTCCCTGCCTTTACCGCGGCAGGAACGCGTGCCTCTGGGAGCGTCTCGCCTGCAAAGGCCAGCATAGATCCACGCTGGGCGTGTCCTTCCATTGAGGAACCCCTTTATACAAAAAAAATCGTCAGGGTTACCCTCTGTCCAACAGCCATGGAAGTTGCGAGAAGAGATGTGGATGGTTACCATCATCTTGAAACGGTTCCTGCTATCTTCCATGGAAACCCACCTTTGGGATTTTGGACAGGTACCCTGCTTTGGGCAACAGCCACGCTTGGACAATCTCAACCATGGGCAGTGCCCAAACGGATCCAAGACGCTCTGAAGTCCGAAGTGTTTGCGAGGTGCATGTCACTGACACAAGCCTTGCTGACAAGAACAAAACCATGCGCCTGCCGCTGAGGAGGAGGGGGTCCTTAGAGACAGCGGTGGCATTGGTCTTGTTAGCAACCTATCTCCTGCAAGCTTTTCAGTCGATGCCGCAAGCCCTCTGCTCCTTGCTCCTTGCGTGAGCGACGTGTTAAAAACACGTATGCCGCTCAACATCGCCACAGCTGGGACCCTTGCTCAATGACCGGGGATTCTGCCGGCACCTGCAAGACAGGGTCCAAGTGACAGCATGACCCAGCTTTTCCCTGAGTTGTTCAAAAGAGGAAGCTCCTGTTGGCGGTGAAACCTGGAAAACATTTACCTGCAGCTTCGCGTTGTGTCTAGGCAAATGGCGAGCCTCTGGTAAAATATCTGTTTCCATTCAATTGCTCCCGGCCAGCGGCTACGTCCTGGCAACATGGATATGTTCTGTTGGTTCCCTTCTTATACGTGTTTTTTTCATTTATCTTTCTCGTTGTCTTCATCTTGTTACTCTTTGTAATTCCTGCTGTTGTTGTGCTACGTTTATTGAAGCTGAATTTTGGCATGGGTGTGTTGCCCACACAGCAGTTGCCAATCCACACACTGGGCATGCAGGGCCGCTCATCCTGCGCCTAAGCTGCCATGCCCGGCATTGTCCCCGGCTTCGATCAAAACCGTAGACGTTGTTGGGCTTGCCACTTTCTGATGCGTGACCTGCATCTCGCCTTCACTCCAAATTGCGACTCCCACACTTAAAACCGTCTCCAAAAATGAAGCACCAACAAGCCTTCACTTTGTTTCCCCAAGCCCCTGGCGCCACCCCAAGCCGCCCCAAGCCGCCCCAAGCCGCCCCAAGCCGCCCCAAGCCCCCCCCCCCCCCCCCCCCCGGACGGCCGACCGCAGCGCCGGCCTCTACCTGGCCGGCCGAGATCTCCTGCAAGGCATCCGATGGGCCGAAGCTTCGCCGAAGCCCGAAGCTTCGGCTCGAGGGCCCGGGATCCCCGACGGTTGCCTTTGTAGTTGGGCTTAACAAAACAAGCAAAAGGCTCCCGAAACCCACACGCGGAGAAAAGGCCTGTGGCCAAGCAGGGAAGAGGCGAAGGGGACAGGGTGAAACGCCCAGCTCCCACAAATGAGAATAGCTCTCTCTCTCCGGTAACACAGGGAAAGTAGCCAGCACTCGTGGAGCCATACGAGCAATTTTAGTGCACGTGCCACCACGTAGTTGGTCAGCCTGCAGCTTTTGTTCCCCACCACTGTACGTGGCTGAGCGCCTCTATATCAGCCTCCTCAACGCTCCCCGAGGAGAACATGGTGTTGGCCATGGAGTGGTACCTTGGCAGTAGCATCTTCTCGACAGTCAAACCCATATATATATATATATAATAGTTAGGCTAACTTGGGCCTCTTTGCATATTCTTCTTGTTCCATTTCGTCTCTCGCCAAACCCTGAAAGTCCTGCTTCAACCAGATCCCAAATGCATGATGTTATGATGTGCACGCAGACAGTCGTCTAAGGCAAATCTGCAACAAGTTAGTCTAGTCCCGGCCGGCCATCCACATAAACCCCAATCCCAAAGCTCTAAATATTCCGCGGTTTTTGTAGCAAGGTGCAACTTGCACGTCTGCTCCACCACCCGGTAGACCTGCATGCACCGCATGCTCAGCAGGCGAGTCGAAAAATGTGAACCCCCCGCCCCTTGGCGGGACTGATTCAATTCATGTTGCCCTTGAAGCAAAGACCCGAACAGGAGCCAGCACTTTGACAGGCCCCCATACACGGTTGTTTGGCTCCTGGCTGCTTGGTTCTTGGGAGCACCTCATGATCGCTGAAGACCGTGACTTCTAACCCAATCAAACAGGTCAAGCGAGATCTGTCTTGCACTCTGGCTGAACCCTGCTTCCAGTTTGTCCCACCTTCAACAGGGGCCAACCAGGGTTCAACAAACCACGATTTCTAAGCCTGCAAATTCAACAGACCGACACTGAATGACCAGCATGGCCTATAATGGCCCACTGCTCTTTAGGGACTGCCCACTTCGCCTTGGAACCCACATCGAAGCTGCCAAGAGATATGAGGAACTGCATGTACTCCTGATCCTGCGCAAGGAAGCAACAGCCTAAACTCATTTACTCCGTTACAGCCTTCCACAAAGGCGGTGCATGACATTTAGACAAATCAAGTTGTGGCGTGGAGAATTCTGGTAATGGAGCAGCCAGGGTCTGGTACTGTCTCACCAGGCCAGGGTGCGCAAAAACGTTCGAGGCCAAAAAGCGAAGTATCGCCGATATCGACTTCACATGATCCACGAGCTGAAACCAGTCACCCCTCACTTTGGAGCACTCCTTGGAGGCCAAGATGCAAGCCTCATGCTCCTGGCGCATGAGCGACATGGTCAAATCGTCCGTGCTGGTGCCACGTTCCCGCCTCCATGAAACGAGCCCAGGGGAAGTTCAGAGCCGAAAGCTCCCGCAGGAGGACAAAGTGGGGGTGCGGCCTGAGCGCGATCATCGGCGAGAGAAAACGTCATGGGAGTTTGCTCTGAAACTCAGCACAATGATTTTTGTGTTTCCCCAAGTGGACATGGAAAAACACGTGAGTGTCTTGTTTTTGTGGGAAAACTAGTGAATCCCCCCATGCTCCACCCAAACTCACAACAAAGTACTGGACACGTTGACTCAACTGAAATGCAGACGCGTCTGGCATGATTTTGTCGCCGTCTTGGCCGCGCGGCCGACACCATTAGCATTGAACGTGCGAGGCGCACGAGGCTGGATTGCATTTGCAACTAAATCAAGCAGGACCTCACGGGAAGAAGGTTCAAATTAAGCGCTGAGGCTCCTGCAAACACAATCTTGCACTGCCTGAGTATGATTATGATCCCTTTGCTAATACATTTGATCATTGCTCAGGCGAAAGAGAGCTTGACTTGCAATCGGGGTACACTCCCGGTTGCTGCCAAGAGGCTAAGAGGCAGGACTGTCCAAGTAACTCCTGAGAAAACTCTAACACTTGGGCTCTTGATTCGGGCACCTCCAAAGCTTCCACTTTCAAGGAGCATCTGGGCTTGGTCAGTCATGTTTCGGCCTGTAAACATCATGTCTTCAACGTCTCCGAGGACAGAGGTAGTAGCCGATGCGCCATATCGTTTCGAGGGGCTCAACCTTGTGAAGCTCCCCGGTGCTGGTTGGCTTGGGAAGCTCGTCGGGTCGTTCCTCGATGCACTTCGGGTCCAGCTCGTTGGGACTCTTCTGCGAAGATCGCTGCCTCCTCGCTTCACGCAAAGCTCCTTGCACACCGGTTTGCCAAGTTCGTTGGGACCAAAGTGTGCCAAGGAGCACGGGGTGCTCTGGCTTGGGAGACTCATTCGGGCGCTCATTGGGGCTCGGCCTGCCATGCTCCCTGAAGGGGTGCTGCTCCTTGGAGTGCTCTGTCTTGCCAAGCTCCTTGAGGTGCTCCAGCTCGTTGGGATTCAGCTTGCCATGCTCCTTGGGGTGCTCCAGCTCGCCGGGACTCTCCTGCTTGCCATACTCCTTGGGGTTGTCCAGCGGGTTGGGATTCGGCTTGCCATGCTCCCACATATCCTCCAGCTCGCTGGGACTCTCCGGCTTACCAAGCTCTTTGGGGTGCTCCAGCTCGTTGGGATTTGGGTTGCCATGCTCCCTGGGGTGCTCCAGCTCGTTGGGATTGGGCCTGCCATGCTCCCTGCATTGCTCCAGCTCGCTGGGACTCTCCGCTGGGACTCTCCGGCTTGCCAAGCTTTTTGGGGTGCTTGCCGTGCTCCCTGGGGCGCTCCAGCTCGCTGGGACTCTCTGGCTTGCCAAGCTCCTTGGGGTGCTCCAGCTCGTTGGGATTCGGCCTGCCATGTTTTTGGGGTGCTCCAGCTCGCTGGGACTCTCTGGCTTGCCAAGCTCCTTAGGGTGCTCCAGCTCGTTGGGATTTGGGTTGCCAAGCTCCTTGGGGCGCTCCAGCTCGCTGGGACTCTCCGGCTTGCCAAGCTTTTTGGGGTGCTCCAGCTCTTTGGGATTCGGCTTGCCATGCTCCCTGGGGTGCTCCAGCTCGCTGGGACTCTCCGGCTTGCCAAGCTTCTTGGGGTGCTCCAGCTCGTTGGGATTCGGCCTGCCATGCTCCCTGGGGGCTCCAGCTCGCTGGGACTCTCTGGCTTGCCAAGCTCCTTGGGGTGCTCCAGCTCGTTGGGATTTGGGTTGCCAAGCTCCTTGGGGTGCTCCAGCTCGCTGGGACTCTCCGGCTTGCCAAGCTTTTTGGGGTGCTCCAGCTCGTTGGGATTCGGCTTGCCATGCTCCCTGGGGTGCTCCAGCTCGCTGGGACTCTCCGGCTTGCCAAGCTTTTTGGGGTGCTCCAGCTCGTTGGGATTCGGCTTGCCATGCCCCCTGGGGTGCTCCAGCTCAAGCTTGGTCTTGCGAAGCTCGTCGGTGTGCCAGTCCTCCTTCCCCGGCTGCTGCACTTTCAGATTCGGATCTCTGAGCATTTTGACGAGGCTTTTAGCAGTGTCCCATGACAGAAAAGGCTGTTTGTGGTATAAGCTTTTCATGCGTAGCCCTCGATGACGGGCGACCACCCAAACATAGCGCCGCGCCAAGCTGTGCGCTGCATCTATCCCCTTCTCGTCCCAGGACTCCAAGAGCTTCAGCAACTCCTCCTCCGTGCTTTCTTGCACAGCGCGGAGGATCGTGGTTGAAGCGAGCTGCTTCCTGCAAATGGACGCGAGCTGATTTCGCAGTTCTACGATACACGCAGACGACTTGTTTGTTGCGAAGACCGGGGCTTGCACATTCATGATGTCACCGACCACTGTGTTGAGGACCCTTTCAAGGCCATCAGACGTAGCTTTCTGGATGTATGTGTCAATGAGGTCCTGCTTACTCACAATTGGAAGCAACACAGGACGTTCACCCCTGGCCTTTGCTGCTGCCTCGCTGGCTTGAAGACACACTCTCTTGACCAGGCCGAGAAACCGAGAGTCTGAGATTTCATGCCGATTCTCAGCGCCAAGCACGAGGACCAAGACCAAACGCTGATGGAGCACCTCTGGGCGAATCTTCTCACGCTCTGCCTTGGCCAGGCAGTCGGCGAAGAGGTCACCCTCATTCCCTTCAAATTCCCACCCTTTGGTGTCAACAAGAACCACCGTTTCTTTCACGCTTTGCGTAGTCCAGGCCGTGCACTCTTGTCGATGCATATGGACACCCTTGGTGCATGGCGCCATGTGATGCTCTTTGGCTGGGCGCGTGTTGTCCCCTAGCTCCTGCAGCAAGTTATTGATGAGGGTGCTTTTGCCTTGCCTTGTCCTCCCGAAGAAGTAAATCGGGCATACGCCTACAATTTCCTTTGCCGTGACCGTACACTGCTCCAAATCCAGTTGTCCTTTCTCGCAAAGCGCGGTGTCCCAGAGCTCCTCCGTGATGGCCTCGCCACGCACCGTTGCCTCGGGCACTTCCCCTCTTTGGCTGCGCCGATGTTTGACGGGATGTTTGACTCGCGCTCTCTGCACAGCCTGGCGGCAGCCGCTCCCGCTCCGCGAAGCCCCGCGCACACACATCGCCCCAAGACATGGGAACCCACGTTGGAAATTCCAGCACCCAGAGCAGCGCGGGCATCATCTTGCACCATGACGATGCCAAGATCGTGCACCATGACGATGCCAAGAATCCGAAATTCACCACAGGCAGCTCTGGCCAAAAATGGCTGCGTAACGCTGGTGGCACAAACAACCTCGCCCGCCGCTTCTGGGCGCAACCGACTTCCCCAAGGGTGCTGAGGAGCAGGCATGGTCATAAACTGCAGCACAGAGGCGGAAACCTTGCGCCATGTCTGTTCAGTCTCTCAGGCAACTGAGCTTCGCATTTTTGGGATGCGCCCTCATCTTTCGCAAAGCGCGTCACCAATCGATCAACGATAAGAATGCTGGCATGTTTGTGCGCATCAAACTAGACGACGGGTGGCCGTCGTAACATGCAGCACGGGTGATTGCAAAAGCATGTCCAGAAGACGAGCCATGCTTTCTTGCACCCCAGCCACATTGCGATTGGTCAACAATACTCAAGAGGAAGCGCGTGAATTTGTTCCAAATGTATTTTGCTCGAGCACACCTTCTCTAGTATATCCTGCTCAAGTGCATCTTGCTCAAGTGCGTCTTTCTCAACTCCACTTTGTCTCGTTCGTGCTTCTTCCGCACTTGAAAACGATATTCGAGCCGGAACAAGAAAGCGTTTCCATTGCTGAGATTTTGGAGCCGGAGAGCGAAAGTGCACTTCTCGCGCTTCTGGAACAAGAACCCTGCGCGGAAGAAATGGACGGACAACTCCGAACTCCAGATACGCAGAGTGTCTGGGCCAAATGAGGCCCAACCAATACAGGCACTGCAGCACACGCTGCTTGGGATCCCTTTCGACGGCTGTCAAAAGAAGCGCCAAATCGAATCCAACGAATCCGACCAACCAGTTCGGAGAGCCTACAGCCTTCCATAAGGTTGGAGCAGATCCAGTCCGTCCCCCCGATCTCCCAGCCTCCTCGAAGCGGCGGCTGAAGAACTGGTCGAAGTCGAAGCCGAGCTGCCCGAGCTTGTGCAGGTCCAACCTGGCTCTATCAACGCGCAGCCGGAAAAAGCACATGGATTCACTTACGCACCTGCCCACCCCCCCCCCCCCCACATCTATGATGGGAAGAACGGGGCAAGAACAGCGCAGCCCTGGTGCCAGGAGACCTCTTCAAGGGATGTATGAAAGGGACATGTGCTAGCGTGCTGCCAAAGCCTGACTGATGCGACATTTCCAGACAAAGCCAACCACCCCGTCTTATTCAAACTCCACTGCAGCGACAAGCAGAATCAGGATGGCAACCGGCACGCACGCACACCCATACCCAAGGCCAGCACCAGTACCCATCTCGGATAATGTCCATGACTGCACGGTCAATCTGCTCCTGAGATCCAGTCAAGGCTGGGCAGCATCAACACCATCAACCAAATGTCACGCGCGGCCAGCTTGGTCTTCGCAGCAAAGCGGGTCGTCTTGCAGCGGGAGTCCGATCGTTTTGCAACGCGGGACTCCGATCGCTTTGCAACGCGGGATTCTGATCGTTCTGAAACTCGCACCGCGGAGTGCTGATGGCTTTTCCACAGATTCCACAGTTTCCACAGTTTCCACAGTTTCCACAGTTTCCACAGTTTTCACAGTTTTCACAGTTTCCACGGCTTCCACGGCTTCCGCAGCTTTCATGGTTTCCACGGTTTGCATGTCCACGATTTCTCCGGTTCGACGGTTTCCAGTTTCCAGGTGCATGACGTTGTTTGCATGGATTCCACGGTTTCCATCGTTTTCCCAGCTTCCTGAGATCCATGAAATGCCGCGAGCTGAGCGAGTGGTTTTGAGCGGCTGCGCACAGTTCTGAGTGGGCCCTTACCATTCGGCAGGTACGACTGCGGCGCTGAGCGAATGTGCTTGAGTGAGTATTTTTGGGCTGGCGCCACGGACCCAAGAGCCCATGAAGGAACCTGCGCAAAAGACGATCGCTTGCGTGCCTTGCGGGCAGGCCTTTGGATAATGGCAAAATGGTTGTGGGTCACAAATCCGCGACATTGTTCGGCGTGTCGGATACCTAAGAGAGGACTATTGGATACCTAAGAGAGGATAGAGGATAACCCCCCCCTTAGCCCCCCCCCGGGACACGTCAAAGACGCATGGTTTTTCGGTCGCCACCCCCCCCCCCCTCTCCCACGTACCGCGCGGCAATTTGATGACGTTCCACTAAACGTAGTCTTCGCGGAGCGGGTCTGGAGAAACGGGGGTCCCAGGCTCGAATCCTCCCGCCGCCTCTTTCTGCCGGCTGAGGTTTTGTGCTGCCTTTTGCGGAAAACTTTGAGACACACGGTGTTCGGTGTTTTTCCTTTGCTGACACCATTGAAAAAAACATTGTGTTTTCCGATTTCCTTGACAATTGGCACCAATTTCCCCCCAATTTCCCCTAATTTCCCCCAATGCTTCCCCGCAAATTGCGCCTTACTTTCTCACCAATTCCCTCCCACTTTCCTTTCAATTTCCATCCGACTTCCCCCCAATTTCCCCCCCAGTTTCCCCCAAATGTCCTGGCAAATTCCCCAACCCCAGCTTCCTTCCAAGTGTCGCCCCCAATGTCCTTCGTGTCGGATACTTGGGCCATGCTAAGCCACGCTTCTCGCAAGCAAGAATGCCGTACAAGGGGCAACCTCAACACCCCTCAGAAATCAGCTTATCCGCGCACCCCGCCAAAATGACATGCAGTGGCCATGACATACCACCCAGCACTAAGGTGCCCTAAACGGCGAGCCTTCCTGTTCGCAATTGTACGCCCTGTTTGGTCGCCACCCGGAGGCATGGTTCGGCGCCCTTTTTGGGAGCACCCTCTTGGTGGCACTCAACACTCCGCCGACATTGCTTGGCGTGTCGGGGAGGATGGGGGAACCAGAGAGGACAGAAGAGCATACTACGGGGACACGGGCGAGAGGAAGAAGGAGACAAGCTAGATGCCAATGTCGGCGGACTGAGCCGGAGGCTCTAAAGTTTTGGTGCCCAAACAGAAACCCTAGTATTGTAAATGGAAACAGGTACTATGACCTGCGGTCCCTTTCACATTGGTCCATGTGTTGCAAAACGATCGCGGCGTTTGGCCCATGTTGTAACACCGCTGTGTGCGGTCCGTGTGGTGCAAAATAATATCCATTTGGCTCATGCATTAAGAACGCAATCCGCTGTTGCAAAATTATGAGGATCGTGCTTCCGTGTGGAGAGAAGCGTTGCAACCCGCAATCCATGCCTTGGCAACATGGCTGAGCTCCGGGCACGGGTCCGTCTGAAGAAAGCGGAAAAATCGAAGTCGCGCACCTCGAGACGACCAAAGGAGCGCGGCAGTGCGGCCTACGTGTAGCCCAACATGGCAAATAAGACCTCCTGCCGTCAATGTCCAAGACAACCGCAATGCGGGCCTCTGACCGCAGCATGACGAGCTCGGTCCATGCCTTCGGGGTGCAGTGCGCAAGCGATTGCCTCTGCCTGGACTCTTGTTTCCAGTACAGGATGGCCTGAGGTTTCGCACGGCCTTGCTCTTGTACAGTGGGCGCCAGGTGTGTGTTTTTCTTCAAGACGCAAAAGAGATGACCAATTGTCTGTGGTCCCCAATGTCAGGCGGCTAACGCAAGGACCGATGAATCCGTCGACTGTCAAACGCAGGGCCCGGGATGTACACCAAAACTAAAACGGCGACCTGCCGAGCTGGTGCTTATCTGGTCACGGTGCGAGTAAGAATCCCATGCAACAAAAGGGCTATATCTGCGAATGACTTCTCTCGTTTGGCAAAAGGATTCACATCGGTTTCGCACTGTCCCCAGAGCCAAAAGCTTTTCCCGACGCCTTGGAGGCGAACCAGGACTGAAGCAGCACTGCGTCCAGCTGCGCCTATCAAAAGCACGCTGCACGCTGCGATGGTCAGCTACCTGCTGAGACCACTGGTCTTTGGAACCAGAATCGAGAAGGCAATTGGAACGTATGCACAACAGCTCATTTTGTCAGAAACGCTCATCGCGCTCCCCCTGAATTTGACCAGCTGGCAAGACTGGCAAAACACATCCTCGATAAACAAGAAAAATGCGCCCGGTGCTCAGTGCAAAAGCTAAGGATCCACCTCCGCATGCCAATTTCAGTAGAATGCTGCGATCTTCTTTCTCGCACCGGCGACACGTCCCCTTCGGCTTCAGAACTGGGGCCGCACCCGCCTGGCGCCGCTCCAGAAAGGGCACGATGGGCAAACGCAACGAAGTGAGGTCCACGATCAGCGAGATCTGCCTCCGACCGATCAACACAGCATAGGCATAAAAGCATTGGCCCCAAATCCAGGCGTGTCGGTGCACTTGACAGAAAAAGAGACCTGCATTTGTGGGTTCCGGGCTTCAGCGGCAATAGCGTGCGGAGCAACATCGCCGTCTGTTGCTTGGCCCGGCCTACGGCAGAAGGCATCGAAGAGCAAGTCCTGGCGGCTTTACTGACCAGGCAAAGCGACAAAAGGGGTTGGAAGTTAGAAGCCTTCATGCTGGCCGCCCCCTCTGCCTTTCATCCCACCCAACTGCGCCAACTGGGAGGGTCCTCCATGGCTTTGTAGTTCTCCCGGAAATAGGCGCGGAACGCATGCGGATGCACCTGAGATGCTTGGCGCAACACCGCCTAGTTTGCTCACAATCATGTCCCATTCAACCCCTCATCCAATTCCGGCAAACTGGGCCCTGTCGTGGAACAAAATATCGCCCAATCTGAATGGGCCAACGAATCCCAGCCTCCACGATGTGCCGCATCTGCACAAACTCCTTGCCGGACATGAGGCCATCGGCAAAGCGCAAAAACCTGGCCACCAGACATCGCTCTTTGCACCTTTGAACCCTTGCCAACTCATCCGCGCTTGACAACCCCATGCTCACCGACCGGGCTGGGCCCCCCGGCAGCTCGCTTTGGAAGTGAAGTTCCAAGACACGCCTGCGAGAGGCGAGCCTCTAGACTCTAGCCTCCCCATTCACGTAATCTGACAGTGGGTGGCTCCCAAACAAAGCTGGCTTCCCTGAAAATAGGCTGCGCACCTTGTAAACAAGGTCATGGCTCCACCACACCCCACCCCTTTTTTTGCGGAACGCCCAAATCCACGCTCGGGGCCCGCCTGTCGATCTCCACCAGCCTTCTCACCGCAGTTTGCGGCCGGCCGTCCGGGCCTGGAGTTCAGATCTCAGAAACCGCAAAGCTGATGGGGTTCTGCCTATTTGAGGACCTGTTGAACCAGGGCGAGCCAAATGGACAAGGACTACAAACTGGCAGAAGCCTGCTCACATGCCTAGGCCGCGCACGGCTGAGTGGCACGGACATCAATCTACGACATGAACAACCCGTTGAGGTAGTTACTCCGTGATTATAAACATCGTCTGCCGCAGTCCCCGCCTTCGCGGCTCTCACCCTCCTCAGGCGTCTTCCAAAGCCCATCCGCTGCCTTCCAAGCAAGTGATGGGTGGATTGCCTGGGTTGAGCCTACTGCACGCTTTGAAAGCATCCAAAGCCAAACCATGTTCCGATTCCACGTCGGCTTTTGCGATACCGTATTCGCTTGGCTGACAACTCCACATGTCGAGCCGCCGACTTCCCTACTGCCAATGGTTCCAAAATGCAGACTCTACTCTGTCCAAAACGTCGAGCACAGCTCCCACAAACAAAATCTTGCCTGGTTTGGATCTGCTGAGCCTGTGGCACACTGGCAAAGATCCTGGCCAAGCTCTCTCTCCACCCACAGCCCACACACCTCATCCGCCGCTCCCACCCTTCGCTGGCTGCTCCTCCAGCCCCGATTGCAGCAGCGAGCTGAGTTCCGCCTTCGGGCACAGAGCGAGACTGGGGTCTTTTGGAGCCCGAAACCCTTCTGCCGCCTGTTCCAGCTGCTGTTCCCAGCCACAATGTGCACAAGCGCTCCCATGCCGGCCTGCTTGCGAGCCGCAAACTCGTGCAGGTCGAATCCGAGCTTAGAGATCCGCTCGACCGTCCCAAAGTCCTCGAAGCATTGGAGCACTGTGTTCATTTACAGTACAAGTGATGTTTAAAACGAGCAAAGGGCACATTGTCCGCTCAGGGTCGCTCGCAAACCAAACTCGGCGACACTGCAAGAAAGCGAAGTCTGCCAAACCAGCGAACCCGGCTGAACAGCTCCATCGCCTGCCACCCTAAACGCCAAAAAGGATTCAGGGCCAGAAATGGCATTGTCCCGTAGTTGTCTCGTCTCCGAAACCTCTTAAGGACAACTCAATATTGCCATGATCTTCAAAAGGCCTAAGGCCTCTTGCACTTCCACTTCAAACGCACAAGTCCTTTTTACCTCCAGGTCCAACCTGATGGCTTCCCCCAGCCAATGTTCACCATGAATAACGCCCATCAGCTGGGCCTCCCTTTGCTCGGCCGCGCCTGGCGCTGGATGCAGCTCAGCACCGGGGCGTCGAACTGCCCCTGGTCCTACGCGCTTGGTGTCGTGTCTCAAGAAACGACGCCGGCTCCCACGGCGAAAAGGGATACCGTGGTCTGGGACCTACCCCACTGATCCCCACTGCGCCACTGCGGAGCTCAAATCGGGACAGCTCGACGCTAGTGACGGTCTGTGTGTGTGTGTGTGTGCGCGCTGCTCTTCCCAGTCTTTCCTACTAAGTGGCTCATCTCAATTGTGGATTTGACCTGCCTACGCAGAGTGTGGGCGCTGCCGCCATCGTGCAAGAGTGATCTTAGAGGCGACTTTGCAATCTTCTTCTCTAATGTTGATTGTTTTGGGCTGAGTGTTCAACGGGACCCTGATGGTTCACTCTGATTATGGGGGGGTGGGGCTGATTCTTCGTCTTCGAAGGAAATACCTTGCAAAACATGGCCCCTGACTTTAGGTTTCCCAAAATCAGGGATGAAGCACTGTGCACCAACTTGGATCTAGGCAACAATTTGGCTGCCCCAACTGCGGATTTCGCATGCGCCTCCCCTCTTTCAGCACTCTTTGCGCAATCTTTTGGGCTCGATAGACGGCTCGAGTATCCAAAATGACCGAGCAGCGAAGTGTACTTGGCATGTGATTGCATGCGCCTCTTGAGCACTGAGCTAGGGCCATCGCTGTCGCTTCAGGATTACTCGACTGACTGCTGATCAATCTAGCGTGCTTTAAAAAGGCATTGCAACACCCAATAGAGTCAATATCAAACTTCGAAGGAGACTAATGACTTTCTGAATTTCCCAATTGCGCACGCACACACACACACACACACACACACACACACACACACACACACACCCACCCACCACCCACCCACCCACCCACCCACCCACCCACCCACCCACCCACCCACCCACCCACCCACCACGCACGCACGCACGCACGCACGCACGCACGCACGCACGCACACGCACGCACGCACGCACGCACGCACGCACGCACGCACGCACGCACGCACGCACGCACGCACGCACGCACGCACGCACGCACGCACACACACACACACACACACACACACACACACACACACACACACACACACACACACCACCACCCACCCACCCACCCACCCACCCACCCACCCACCCACCCACCCACCCACCCACCCACCCACCCACCCACCCACCCACGCACGCACGCACGCACGCACGCACGCACGCACGCACGCACGCACGCACGCACGCACGCACACGCACGCACGCACGCACGCACGCACGCACGCACGCACGCACGCACGCACGCACGCACGCACGCACCCACACACACACACACACACACACGCACGCACGCACGCACCCACACACACACACACACACATGTTTGTCTGAATGATCTTAGTTTGGATCCAACTGCTCTGATTTCAATGCCATTGAGCCGAAGCCAGTCCTGGAACAGCCGAAAGCCGCAGAAGTGGAGGAGGTCCAGCACCTCGCGGAACGCATCGCCATGCTCCTCACCCTTATGGGGCAGGCCGATGGCGGCCCTGAAGAAAAAGCATGTCAAAGATCCCAGGAGTTGCAACTGTTTTCCAAGCTCAAAGTCTAGGCCGCAGATAAAAGAGAGAACGGCACACCAGTTCCGATGCCGACACGGGCCCTGGCGCCCGGTCGCTGCCCCATGGCCTGCGAACCAAATGACTGCGGGCGGAGTGCAACTGCGGTGGGCAACGTGGGAACGGGTTTCGCAGAGTGTTGGGAATCAGGAAGCTCACGAGGACGAGATGTGGGGACCTGCTTTGAGATGGCAAAAGGGGAACCAAGAAGGACGGGAGAGGCTGCCTTGTTCACCATGAGGACCAGCTCCTGGTCGTATCTTTCCAGCACTGCTCTGAGATCAACCACCTGCCGCTGCCAGTCTTGTGCAAGCGAAGCAACATAGAAATTACTGGTGGCAAGCGATCTGCGAACCGCACAGAACACCTGAACCAGCGACATTGCACTGCCGGCCTCTTGAATCAAAAGGTACACAAAGTTGAAGGATTCAGCAGCGAGCGCCAAAAGTAGCAGGTACCTAGCAGCCGGGGAATTTCTGAGAAGAGTTGGCCAATGGGATTTACTTACTCCTGCCATTCAACTCGGCCCAACAAAACAAGCCGCGACTCAAACCCAGTGCAACCCAGCCGAACCTGGGTGCCCGGGCCCGCAGCCGTCGACCCGCAGGAAGGAGTTGGTGGCGGCCCCGGCCTTCAAAAAGGAGGAGAGGACGAAGGGCACCTCGTGCGAGGGAGGCCAGCGATGCCAGGGGAGGCGGGGGCGAAATAAGATTCTTGACAAAAACATGGCAAAACACGAGGTCAACGGGGGGCGGCCTTCTTTCACAAGGCGGACATTTTACATTTGAGGTATGCAGGCAAAATGATAATATAAGCAATTATGATGCCAAGCAAGGGGTTGAAGGACCGGTCAGCGAGAGGGTGGCCAAAAGCGGCTAAGGGTAGCCTCTCAACCTTCCGCCCCTCAACTTCTTGGGCCCCAGAAAACTTTGCGAGGACAGCCAACCTTCCGCCTCCCTCCCAGGGAGCCGGAAGCCGAGCCGGGGACTTTGTACAAAGACGCCCGGTGCTTGCACAGAGCGTCCACCTGGTTCTCGGCATACGCGCTTGTGGCCAGGTCCTACGATTCCATCTGTGCAGCTCACTTGGCTCCCTTCCATTCACGCACGGCCCCCAAAGCCTTCGACGCATTCCGAAACGAAACCGAGCTCGGATGCGGGGTCCAGCATGGAAAACCGGAAGGAGTTCCTCGAGCCCAGGAAGTCGACGTAGATCGACCTTGAAACCACGCGGCACATCCCACCAAACCAGACCCGCACGCTGCGGCCCGCGCCCTTCGCTCAGCAGTTGCTCGGCGATGCCCCCTCGGGCAGTGCACTCCAGCAAATCCTGGCGAACGGGCGTGACTGCCGTGGTGGGATGCACTTGCTAGCTCCACTCAGCTTCACTCTTGGCCAGGGATTCCTGTGGACGCGCAGTTTCCCTTGTCTTAGCTGAGGCGAACGCGAAAAGTCCCCGAAAAGTTGTAAAAGTGGGATCCCGGGATCCCTTCGTTTGGAGCCTCTGGTTTGTTGGGGCCGCTAACACCTCAAACAGCGTGCTCACTCAGAAACATGCTTTCCCTCTCTTCTTCACCAGAAGTAACAAACTCGTCAGCGGAGGCCTCAGCTAGGCTGTACCGCAGGGATCGCAGCAGCGACAACCGCTCCACAGAGCCCTTGCTCAAAGCCTCCCAGCATTCAGAAAAAATGGCAGGCCCTGTTAAGAGATAAACCTCGCACACCGGTCGCCCATTCGAAGCTTGCTTTCCAAAAAACGCATGCAAATAAGCGGGGCTTACTTGGATCTGGAGCTTTTCAAAAGGAGGAAAGGGAGGTCCCGAGGAGCTTGCAGGCATGGGTCCCGGGTCCCGGGTCCCGGGTCCAGGTGAATTCACCTTGGCTCAAGCCGCCGCCTGTAAACTCGGGAGTCGTGGCTTACATTTCACGCGAATGTGCATGACAGGCCATTCACTAATTCACCTCGTCGTTGCGTCGTCATTGGCGCTGTTTGTGCTTCCTGGTCACATTATGTATTCGGCCATATTTGCCCACCTGGTTGCTTTTCGAATGCGACCCTCTGACCTGAACAAAACAATCCAATGGCCTGTTGTTCAAGCACAAATTGCTGCCCACTGAGGCGAAGTTTATGTAGCAGCTCTGGTGCAACTGGTATGCGTAGTCTTGCCTCGACTCATTGCAGAAACAAGCTGCACAGGGATCAATGCTCAAAATCTTCCAGCGCTGTAAAGTTAGGACCACACGGGCACCGCCTCACCTCACTGCTGTTCATGTCTCAGGGGCGGCTGGTTTGTGAGAAACCAGGACCCAACCAAACCCAGCACTCCAGCCTCCTGCACAAACGGCTTCAAGCGCGCATCTCCCTTGGCGCTGCCGAAGGCAAACTTCCTGCGGAGATACTGTTCGGTGCACGGCCAGCCCGGTTCATTCAAATTGAGGCCCCTGCAAAAGGAAAGGCAACAGATTGCAGGTTTCATTTCAGCCAATCCCTGTCATTGGCTGAGCTTGAACCCCTTCGGCGCAACCACTCAACCCCCTCGCCTCTCGGCCAGCAAGCGCAGGCCCTCGTAATCGCTATGCAGGACTGCCTTACCCCGAGAGAAGCGAGGCAAGGCGCGGTGCAAAGGAGACGAAGGGTTCAAATGTTTTGACACACAGCCATATGCTTCATAATCAAAACCTTGCACAGTCACGCAATACCAAGGCCGGGCCTCTGTGAAAACGACTTCCAGATTGTACTGGAAAGCCCCGTCCATGAAGCTTCTGACGATGCCTCTGCCACTGGAAGAACACAAACAGGGCAGGGTCTTGCAAAATCCGAAGTGCTAAGGCAGGGTGCTGGAGAAGCCAGCAAGGCTCACCATAAACAGACCAAGCGGCTCCAGTCCCTCTCCGTCAGCGCCAAAAGCGGCACGACCTGTGGGCCAAAAGCAAGTGAACAGGCTGTCAGGAGCTGGTCAATCGGCAAAAGTCTCAGACGAAGACAACTCTGTTACAATCAAATCCCACCGTGGGACCTTGCGGTTCGATGAATGAACCGGGCAGACCTCTCACCCAACCATGCAAAGCCCCAAGAGTCCAAGAGTCGAGCCCCAACCCCCCAAGAGCGAGCCAGCGAGCCTCCAGGCCCCAAAGCCCTCAACTGACTCAACTGGCCTTGTCCTTGAGCACCTTGAAAAAGACTTGCCGCAGGTGCCACATGGATCGCGCTTCGGCGAGGCTGAGGCACCTCAAGGAGAGAGAACGCAAACCCGGGCTACCCGAAAGACAATGGTATACAACTTTTTACAATTCTATGCCAAGGAAAACAGGTGCAAAAGAAAGACTTCGGCGAAATCTCGGTCTTTGCCCGTATGTCTGCTTTGGGAAGGTCTATTGAGTCATTCACCGCAACTTGATCGGTCCATGTCAGCTAAACCGGAAGCTTCACATGGGTCTTGACGGCTTGAAATCTTTCCAACTTGCCAAGGCGCATGAGGATGGTATAAACCAATCCTTCATCCTTCAACACCTTCGGGCCTCACATTGCTGAGCTGACAACAACCCTTCCAAACCAAAGAACCAGAGATGCCCCACAGCAACATCCGGTTCAAGATCAGGGCAGACGCGGTGCATTAAAATGCTTGCACAAGCTGACGCCACCTTTTGGCGTCCTTTCAAAGTCCCATTTGGGGATTTCGAGTCTGCCACTTGGGCCAAGGGCACCTTCCGAACAAACCCAGCAAAGCGCAAAGCGCCCACCTGGTGCATCTAGCTGGCCCGAGGCCATTGACCCGTCGGCCCTGGCGGACAAAAAGACGTGCAAACCTGACAATGTCGTGAGCGCCGCCTTCGCTTCATTTCGGCTGTCCTCGTGCAGGGCGAACGGCGAACTGATGCTGCCCCAGCCCAAAGAACAACATGTGTCAACTCCGGCATGAATTCCGCGCATGTTCATTCTGGACTGCTTGCAAAGTGATGAGGATCCAACCCCTCCCGCAGCAAAGCACCGTCCATCGCTGCATCACATTTAGAAACATTTGTGTTCACGTCCTCGTTCTTGGGTTGGTGGCTGAAGCTTGGGCTGAAGGTTGGGCTGAAGTCTCAAGGTCCCAAACAAAATACATTAAACAATGCCATCTAGAGGTTGCAAGTTGCGACTGATGTTCAAAGCATGCGCTCACGGCGGTTGCGATGGATGGTTGTCGCCAAGCTGCAAATATGTGTTTTCTCACCTGTAATAAGCCGAAACATTGCGAGCCATCAAAGCTGATTATTGGCGGGAAATCCAACTCTGGCACGTATTGCATTTAAAGCTGCAGAATGAACCCATTGTGGTCTTCATGTGTCAGAACGGAAATCCAGCTGATGCGTTTCCGGCTCTTTCCAATGATCAATCGGTCCAAACTTCAAAAAGCAACATCAGCTGCGCGTTCGATCGCGCGGCAAGGGCAACCCGGACATCCAGGCCTCCAAGGTGAGCATTTGCAGCCGGTCGGGGAGTGGTTCCACAGGGTCAAAGGGTCCAGCACAAATTGCCTTTTTCGGTCCAGGGTGCTCAACGGGCCATGCGCGCGGCTGGCGAAGATGTACTTCTGGAGGTGCAGGGTCCAGTCCTGGCTTTTCGGTTTGAGGGCTGAGGGTTCTGGGGTTTTGGGTCGTTTAGGGTTTTGGATTTGGAGATTCAAGATGCATGGTTTCGTCTCAGGTTTAGGGTTTTGGGTGTTGGGGTTGCGGCTTACTTAAGTGTTTATGGTTGCTAGGGTTTGGGGTTCGGGGGATCAGGGATTTTGGCTTCGCTAAAGGTTTAGAAAATACGGTTTGAGGATTTAGAACTCACGGTTTTGGGTTTGAGGGGTTCAGGTTGTAGAGGTGCAGGGGTAGGTGCGTTGAAAGGTGCAGACTCTGTCCAAGACATGGATCATGGCTCCCACAAACGACACCATGCATGGGTTGCATCTGCTGAGCCACCTCCAACAGCCCACACCCCTCCTTAGCCACTCCCACCCTTTGCTGGCAGCTCCTCCAGTGTCCAGCCCCAATTGCGGCAGCGAGCTGAGTTCCGCCTCCGGGCGAGATTGGGGTCTTTTGGAGCTCAACACCCTGCTGCCACCTGTTCAGCCACTTTTTCCAGCCACGATGCACCAAACGTGCTGTCACCAGCCCTTGTTTGCCCCTGCGCTCCCGTGTCGGCTGGCCTGCTTGCGAGCCGCAAACTCGTGCAGGGGTTCATTTACAGTGATGTTCAAAATGAACAAGGTGCATTGTCCGCTCAGGGTCGCTTGCAAACACGGCGACATTGCGAGATTGGGGAATGGACGGTGTGCAAACCCCACATCCAAGACTCCACACCCCACTCCCCACCCGCAAGAACATACCTTCACTCGACCTTCACCCTCGCACAAGGCCCAGAGCCCAAGCCAGCCGCACCTATGGCCACCTGCTCAAAAAACTCAATTTGCAGCAACCCAAAGGAAAGGCTCAGCCTTCTGAAACATCGGAAGAGGCAAACACGCGCCGAGATCCTGAAATTGAGACCAGCGGGCAACAAGGACGCTGAATGGACTGGGACACATCTTAAAAATTGCAAATGTTTGCCCACGTACTGAGGCGACAAGTTGTTTTTAGAGACGTCTACTGAGACATCGATTTGAAGGACCCTCCGATCTTCCCGAAGGCCGCGCTCAAAACATGTTGGGCCCCGATTTCAGTCGAACATGCGATCTGTCTCGCGCCCAGCCGCACGTCCCCCCTGGCAGCCTTGCCCGCGCCCGCCTGGCACCTCTCCAGAAAGAGCACGGGCAAACGCAAAGACGTGAGGTCCACGATCAGCGACATCTGCCTCCGCCAGGGATCAACACAGCGTAACAACATTAGCCCAAAATATTTGTGGCATGACGTGAAACGTCTTGCAGCACCACTCGGACGGCGCTTGGTTTTGCCTGCGCGCTTCATCCCAATCCTTCACGGATTGCATGAATCCTTCACGGATTGATTGGCCCGCACAGCTGGGTGGAACTTTTGAAGTCTCCCACGTCTCAAGGAGCTGCCTCCGTGCCTCCGAATTCAAAGCCACGAAGCAGGTGAAACAGAGCCGAGAGTGGCTACCACAACTGCACAAGAACTGCGGTGATATCATCGCAGTAGTTGCCGTCGTGATCGCTCCATTCTCGAAACGCCTTCTGCTGCAGCAGCTCCAGGGTCTTTGCTGGCCCCACTTTTGGGATTTTTGCGGCAACGGCCTCCACCACACACTCGGAGCTCAGAAATTGCCACATGCCATCGCTCGCAACGATGACAAAGACCTTCTTGGACAGGTCCACAGTTGTGAGCACCACCTCAGGAGTGGCGCACACACCGTACTTCTTGAGCGACTGGTCACCCAATGCGCGGGCAGCTGAAAGCCCAACCTTCCCACCTGCGGCAAGAACGCGGCTGGTGGTCACTCCACCACCAGTCTGCACAAGAACCTCGCCTCCCATCGCTTCAATTCTGTCCCTTTCCCTCTGGATGTGTGCCTTGTGGTCCTCGGTCGCGAAGATCACCTTGCCGTCAACCTCAGAGCCAAGCACAGCCCGGCAATCACCTGCATTGCAGGTCCACACCTTGTCCTTCTTAAAAAGAACTGCCACTGCGGTGCAGCCGCTGCACTCCACATCCCAATGGTTTTCCAACGAGTGGATCACCAGGTCTCTCTGCGCCTTCTCAAAGGCACTTGTCAGGGCCTCCTCTACGGCCTCTTCATCAACGGCCCCACTGAAGCCGCTCTCGTTGACCATGAACCACGGCACTGTCTGAACCGCGCGCGTTGCCACTAAGTGCCCATAAGGACCGTGCCCATCGAAGGCACAGACCAGCGTGTGGCCGCTGTTGAAATGGGTCACCGAGAAGTTGTCCTGATTGCAGGACTGCATGAAAGCCTTGTGGCCCTTCTGGCAGGCCACGAAGGCCGGCAGGGCTGAAGGAATCGACCCAAAGGACACTCGCTCACGGTCATCTCTGTGGCTTTCTCCTTTTTGAATCAGACCATGAATGTGGCCTCTCACTTTCGTTGCAAAGGTCTTGTTCAGCAAATCTTGACATGGAGCCTTCTCGAGCTCGATGCGGGCTTGTTGTCGCTCAGAAGTCATGCCGTCCAGATCGCTCTTCGACGCCTTCCGCTCAAGCAGCGTTGATGCCCGTGGGGCGCACAAAGTTCTGTTTGCATCACAAGACCTGAGGTCACATTGGTCATCGGCCTGCGCACCCCAGACGGCGTAAACTGCAATCACGCTGCTCAACGGCGCCAATCCGCCGGAAGTAAGGTCTCTCATGGTGCGGTTGGCGCGCTCTTCCCAGACTACTGCATGGCCAGTGTCGTCGCAAATGACAAACTTGTATTCAGCTTCGCCTTCCAGAGGTATGGGCTGCGATCTCCACACAGGGAAGTCGGACGCTGATGTGCACAGGGCAATGCCCTTGTGTGGGTCCCACCCTCCCAAGGCAGGGGGACTACCCACCACGCGCACGTGCCATCCCACGCGTGTTTCGGCGCATTTCAGGATAAACTCAACCCCGGCGCCTCCGGCCACGCTCGCAGATGCTTTTCCCGGAGCACTGGGTTGCGCGTGCCCAAAGCGCACATGGTCTGGGTCGTAGGTCATCCAGCTTTCCGAGATGGAAAGCACGCTGGGAGGAGCCAGTCCCTCAACAACACACAGAGTGCGGTTTGCGCCATCTTCCCACTGAACAGTAGCACCAGTGTCGTCACAAATGATGTACTTGTACTCGCAAATGCTCCCCTTGTCTACTGTGAGTGGTGCAGAGCTCTTCCACACAGGGAAGTCGTCCGGGGATGTGGTGAGAGCAATCCCTTTGCGGGGATCCCATGCTCCCAAAGCAGGAGTGCTTCCTACTGCACGCACATGGAAGCCCAGGCGCGTGTCGGCGCACTTCACACGAAAAGAGACCAGCATTGCGGGCTCCGGGCTGGAGCCGGACAAGCTCGACACCAATAACGTGCTTAAAACAACGTTTCACACGCACTCTTTCACAAATCGCGCCTACACCTTGGTAACAGAAGCATTGATAGACACTCGGGTTGTCCCCACTGCCTTTCATGCAAACCCAAAGGGCACCTCAGAAGAATCCATCTGGACAGGTGAAATGGAATTGCCAACCAGAGCCGAAACAATGTTCGGGGCCAACGGATGGCATCTTCAGCCTCGATTTGCCACACAAACTCCTTGCTTGGCAGCAGTCCATCGGCGAAGTTCAGAACCTGGCGATCGGGCCGCCTCGCTTGCGTCCGTTGCAAAAGCATAGGGCCTTTCCGCGTTTGAACCCGCCCCCCCCCCCCCCCCACGCCGTTTTTTCGGCAATGCCCAAAGCCATCCCTGCCGATCTCCACCAGCCTTCGCACCGCCTGCGGCCGGCCATCCAAGCCTGGCAAAGATTGCTTCTGTTTGGTCGGCCGCCTATTTGACATCTGTCCTCGTTTTTAAGTCTCCAGCCAACTCGAGCCACGTCACGTTAGACAAACTGACAGAAGCCTATTCAATTGCCTGGGCTGATTGGCACAGACCCAATCCCTCAACATGGTAATCGAAAGTCATCAAGGAAACGTTGTAACAAAAATGGTATGTGTAGAGTCATTGTGTTAACATCTACCGATGCTTCTATAAGCATGATGGTCGTTAGCAATGAATGAGGGGGTAGCATGAGATTGGTACTGGATAAACTGATCTGCTGGTATACAAATGGTAAACGATGGGTATAATGACGGAGATGATGATGAATATAGTGATAGGTATGATAAAATACAATAAAAAAATGAAACGGCATGACTGCCAAACATGAACAAGGAACTGATGAAACACTAAATGCGATACAGCCATCTCCTATTTACCGCACTGCCTCCCGTTTCAATGATCCCGTCATTCTCACTGTTCCACAGCCCATGGCCCACATTTAAGAAAAACTCGGATCGCGAAAACCGAAAGGAACAGACAGATTTAGTGCGGGGTCTGAATCCTGTAAGGAATGAACCAAGATTTTGGGGAATGATCGGAAGGGATCCGGGAAAAGGCAAACCACAAGGGATGGTGTAGTTCGGGGCCATTCCCTCATTCCCTCAAAACCAGCAAGAAATTCAACTGATCTGCATGTCTTACAATAGTTCCAACACGCGAGACAAGAAGTCTTTGAAGCAAGGGCCGTGGCTCTTACATGAAAATCAGCTCACTTGCCCAGAGCGAATCCACCAACAGCTATGGAACAACTCATTTGCGTTTGCCAAAAAAAACAATGCTGCGAGAACCTCAACCTTTGGAACCTCGGCGCATCCATCACTGAAAAAAGAATGCGCTCTCGTTGACTTGAGACCAGCATGCAACAAGGACGCTGAATGAACTGATGAGACACATCTGAAAAATGGCATTTTCTAAACATCAATTCGAAGGGCCCTCCGCTCTTCCCGACGGCCGCGCTCAAAACATGTTGGGCCCCGATTTCAGTCGAACATGCGATCTGTCTCGCGCCAAGCCGAACGTTGCCCGCGCCCGCCTGGCGCCGCTCCAGATAGGGCAAAGGCAAACGCAAAGACGCGAGGTCCAGGATCAGCGACGTCTGCCTCCGCCAGGGATCAACACAGCGTAACAACATTAGCCCAAAACATTTGTGGCATGACATGAAATGTCTTGCAGCACCACTCGGACGGCACTTGGTTTTGCCTGCGCGCTTCATCCCAATCCTTCACGGATTGCATGAATCCTTCACGGATTGATTGGCCCGCACAGCTGGGTGGAACTCTGGAAGTCTCCCACGTCTCAAGGAGCTGCCTCCGTGCCTCCGAATTCAAAGCCACGAAGCAGGTGAAACAGAGCCGAGAGTGGCTACCACAACTGAACAAGAACTGCGGTGATATCATCGCAGTAGTTGCCGTCGTGATCGCTCCATTCTCGAAACGCCTTCTGCTGCAGCAGCTCCAGGGTCTTTGCTGGCCCCACTTTGGGAATTTTTGCGGCCACGGCCTCCACCACACACTCGGAGCTCAGAAATTGCCACATGCCATCGCTCGCAACGATGACAAAGACCTTCTTGGACAGGTCCACAGTTGTGAGCACCACCTCAGGAGTGGCGCACACACCGTACTTCTTGAGCGACTGGTCACCCAATGCGCGGGCAGCTGAAAGCCCAACCTTCCCACCTGCGGCAAGAACGCGGCTGGTGGTCACTCCACCACCAGTCTGCACAAGAACCTCGCCTCCCATCGCTTCAATTCTGTCCCTTTCCCTCTGGATGTGTGCCTTGTGGTCCTCGGTCGCGAAGATCACCTTGCCGTCAACCTCAGAGCCAAGCACAGCCCGGCAATCACCTGCATTGCAGGTCCACACCTTGTCCTTCTTAAAAAGAACTGCCACTGCGGTGCAGCCGCTGCACTCCACATCCCAATGGTTTTCCAACGAGTGGATCACCAGGTCTCTCTGCGCCTTCTCAAAGGCACTTGTCAGGGCCTCCTCTACGGCCTCTTCATCAACGGCCCCACTGAAGCCGCTCTCGTTGACCATGAACCACGGCACTGTCTGAACCGCGCGCGTTGCCACTAAGTGCCCATAAGGACCGTGCCCATCGAAGGCACAGACCAGCGTGTGGCCGCTGTTGAAATGGGTCACCGAGAAGTTGTCCTGATTGCAGGACTGCATGAAAGCCTTGTGGCCCTTCTGGCAGGCCACGAAGGCCGGCGGGGCTGAAGGAATCGACCCAAAGGACACTCGCTCACGGTCATCTCTGTGGCTTTCTCCTTTTTGAATCAGACCATGAATGTGGCCTCTCACTTTCGTTGCAAAGGTCTTGTTCAGCAAATCTTGACATGGAGCCTTCTCGAGCTCGATGCGGGCTTGTTGTCGCTCAGAAGTCATGCCGTCCAGATCGCTCTTCGACGCCTTCCGCTCAAGCAGCGTTGATGCCCGTGGGGCGCACAAAGTTCTGTTTGCATCACAAGACCTGAGGTCACATTGGTCATCGGCCTGCGCACCCCAGACGGCGTAAACTGCAATCACGCTGCTCAACGGCGCCAATCCGCCGGAAGTAAGGTCTCTCATGGTGCGGTTGGCGCGCTCTTCCCAGACTACTGCATGGCCAGTGTCGTCGCAAATGACAAACTTGTATTCAGCTTCGCCTTCCAGAGGTATGGGCTGCGATCTCCACACAGGGAAGTCGGACGCTGATGTGCACAGGGCAATGCCCTTGTGTGGGTCCCACCCTCCCAAGGCAGGGGGACTACCCACCACGCGCACGTGCCATCCCACGCGTGTTTCGGCGCATTTCAGGATAAACTCAACCCCGGCGCCTCCGGCCACGCTCGCAGATGCTTTTCCCGGAGCACTGGGTTGCGCGTGCCCAAAGCGCACATGGTCTGGGTCGTAGGTCATCCAGCTTTCCGAGATGGAAAGCACGCTGGGAGGAGCCAGTCCCTCAACAACACACAGAGTGCGGTTTGCGCCATCTTCCCACTGAACAGTAGCACCAGTGTCGTCACAAATGATGTACTTGTACTCGCAAATGCTCCCCTTGTCTACTGTGAGTGGTGCAGCGCTCTTCCACACAGGGAAGTCGTCCGGGGATGTGGTGAGAGCAATCCCTTTGCGGGGATCCCATGCTCCCAAAGCAGGAGTGCTTCCTACTACACGCACATGGAAGCCCAGGCGCGTGTCGGAGCACTTCACACGAAAAGAGACCAGCATTGTGGGCTCCGAGCTTTGAGCCGGACAAGCTCGACACCAATAACGTGCTTAAAACAACGTTTCACACGCACTCTTTCACAAATCGCGCCTGCACCTTGGCAACAGAAGCATTGATAGACACTCGGGTTGTCCCCACTGCCTTTCATGCAAACCCAAAGGGCACCTCAGCCGAATCCATCTGGGCAGGTGAAATGGAATTGCCAACCAGAGCCGAAACAATGTTCGGGGCCAACGGATGGCATCTTCAGCCTCGATTTGCCACACAACTCCTTGCTTGGCAGCAGTCCATCGGCGAAGTTCAGAACCTGGCGATCGGGCCGCCTCGCTTGCGTCCGTTGCAAAAGCATAGGGCCTTTCCGCGTTTGAACCCGCCCCCCCCCCCCCACGCCGTTTTTTCGGCAATGCCCAAAGCCATCCCTGCCGATCTCCACCAGCCTTCGCACCGCCTGCGGCCGGCCATCCAAGCCTGGCAAAGATTGCTTCTGTTTGGTCGGCCGCCTATTTGACATCTGTCCTCGTTTTTAAGTCTCCAGCCAACTCGAGCCACGTCACGTTAGACAAACTGACAGAAGCCTATTCAATTGCCTGGGCTGATTGGCACAGACCCAATCCCTCAACATGGTAATCGAAAATCATCAAGGAAACGTTGTAACAAAAATGGTATGTGTAGAGTCATTGTGTTAACATCTACCGATGCTTCTATAAGCATGATGGTCGTTAGCAATGAATGAGGGGGTAGCATGAGATTGGTACTGGATAAACTGATCTGCTGGTATACAAATGGTAAACGATGGGTATAATGACGGAGATGATGATGAATATAGTGATAGGTATGATAAAATACAATAAAAAAATGAAACGGCATGACTGCCAAACATGAACAAGGAACTGATGAAACACTAAATGCGATACAGCCATCTCCTATTTACCGCACTGCCTCCCGTTTCAATGATCCCGTCATTCTCACTGTTCCACAGCCCATGGCCCACATTTAAGAAAAACTCGGATCGCGAAAACCGAAAGGAACAGACAGATTTAGTGTGGGGTCTGAATCCTGTAAGGAATGAACCAAGATTTTGGGGAATGATCGGAAGGGATCCGGGAAAAGGCAAACCACAAGGGATGGTGTAGTTCGGGGCCATTCCCTCATTCCCTCAAAACCAGCAAGAAATTCAACTGATCTGCATGTCTTACAATAGTTCCAACACGCGAGACAAGAAGTCTTCGAAGCAAGGGCCGTGGCTCTTACATGAAAATCAGCTCACTTGCCCAGAGCGAATCCACCAACAGCTATGGAACAACTCATTTGCGTTTGCCAAGAAAAACAATGCTGCAAGAACCTCAACCTTTGGAACCTCGGCGCATCCATCACTGAAAAAAGAATGCGCTCTCGTTGACTTGAGACCAGCATGCAACAAGGACGCTGAATGAACTGATGAGACACATCTGAAAAAATGGCATTTTCTAAACATCAATTCGAAGGGCCCTCCGCTCTTCCCGACGGCCGCGCTCAAAACATGTTGGGCCCCGATTTCAGTCGAACATGCGATCTGTCTCGCGCCAAGCCGAACGTTGCCCGCGCCCGCCTGGCGCCGCTCCAGATAGGGCAAAGGCAAACGCAAAGACGCGAGGTCCACGATCAGCGACGTCTGCCTCCGCCAGGGATCAACACAGCGTAACAACATTAGCCCAAAACATTTGTGGCATGACATGAAATGTCTTGCAGCACCACTCGGACGGCACTTGGTTTTGCCTGCGCGCTTCATCCCAATCCTTCACGGATTGCATGAATCCTTCACGGATTGATTGGCCCGCACAGCTGGGTGGAACTTTTGAAGTCTGCCACGTCTCAAGGAGCTGCCTCCGTGCCTCCGAATTCAAAGCCACGAAGCAGGTGAAACAGAGCCGAGAGTGGCTACCACAACTGAACAAGAACTGCGGTGATATCATCGCAGTAGTTGCCGTCGTGATCGCTCCATTCTCGAAACGCCTTCTGCTGCAGCAGCTCCAGGGTCTTTGCTGGCCCCACTTTGGGAATTTTTGCGGCCACGGCCTCCACCACACACTCGGAGCTCAGAAATTGCCACATGCCATCGCTCGCAACGATGACAAAGACCTTCTTGGACAGGTCCACAGTTGTGAGCACCACCTCAGGAGTGGCGCACACACCGTACTTCTTGAGCGACTGGTCACCCAATGCGCGGGCAGCTGAAAGCCCAACCTTCCCACCTGCGGCAAGAACGCGGCTGGTGGTCACTCCACCACCAGTCTGCACAAGAACCTCGCCTCCCATCGCTTCAATTCTATCCCTTTCCCTCTGGATGTGTGCCTTGTGGTCCTCGGTCGCGAAGATCACCTTGCCGTCAACCTCAGAGCCAAGCACAGCCCGGCAATCACCTGCATTGCAGGTCCACACCTTGTCCTTCTTAAAAAGAACTGCCACTGCGGTGCAGCCGCTGCACTCCACATCCCAATGGTTTTCCAACGAGTGGATCACCAGGTCTCTCTGCGCCTTCTCAAAGGCACTTGTCAGGGCCTCCTCTACGGCCTCTTCATCAACGGCCCCACTGAAGCCGCTCTCGTTGACCATGAACCACGGCACTGTCTGAACCGCGCGCGTTGCCACTAAGTGCCCATAAGGACCGTGCCCATCAAAGGCACAGACCAGCGTGTGGCCGCTGTTGAAATGGGTCACCGAGAAGTTGTCCTGATTGCAGGACTGCATGAAAGCCTTGTGGCCCTTCTGGCAGGCCACGAAGGCCGGCGGGGCTGAAGGAATCGACCCAAAGGACACTCGCTCACGGTCATCTCTGTGGCTTTCTCCTTTTTGAATCAGACCATGAATGTGGCCTCTCACTTTCGTTGCAAAGGTCTTGTTCAGCAAATCTTGACATGGAGCCTTCTCGAGCTCGATGCGGGCTTGTTGTCGCTCAGAAGTCATGCCGTCCAGATCGCTCTTCGACGCGTTCCGCTCAAGCAGCGTTGATGCCCGTGGGGCGCACAAAGTTCTGTTTGCATCAGAAGACCTGAGGTCACATTGGTCATCGGCCTGCGCACCCCAGACGGCGTAAACTGCAATCACGCTGCTCAACGGCGCCAATCCGCCGGAAGTAAGGTCTCTCATGGTGCGGTTGGCGCGCTCTTCCCAGACTACTGCATGGCCAGTGTCGTCGCAAATGACAAGCTTGTATTCAGCTTCGCCTTCCAGAGGTATGGGCTGCGATCTCCACACAGGGAAGTCGGACGCTGATGTGCACAGGGCAATGCCCTTGTGTGGGTCCCACCCTCCCAAGGCAGGGGGACTACCCACCACGCGCACGTGCCATCCCACGCGTGTTTCGGCGCATTTCAGGATAAACTCAACGGCGCCTCCGGCCACGCTCGCAGATGCTTTTCCCGGAGCACTGGGTTGCGCGTGCCCAAAGCGCACATGGTCTGGGTCGTAGGTCATCCAGCTTTCCGAGATGGAAAGCACGCTGGGAGGAGCCAGTCCCTCAACAACACACAGAGTGCGGTTTGCGCCATCTTCCCACTGAACAGTGGCACCAGTGTCGTCACAAATGATGTACTTGTACTCGCAAATGCTCCCCTTGTCTACTGTGAGTTGTGCAGCGCTCTTCCACACAGGGAAGTCGTCCGGGGATGTGGTGAGAGCAATCCCTTTGCGGGGATCCCATGCTCCCAAAGCAGGAGTGCTTCCTACTACACGCACATGGAAGCCCAGGCGCGTGTCGGAGCACTTCACACGAAAAGAGACCAGCATTGTGGGCTCCGAGCTTTGAGCCGGACAAGCTCGACACCAATAACGTGCTTAAAACAACGTTTCACACGCACTCTTTCACAAATCGCGCCTGCACCTTGGCAACAGAAGCATTGATAGACACTCGGGTTGTCCCCACTGCCTTTCATGCAAACCCAAAGGGCACCTCAGCCGAATCCATCTGGGCAGGTGAAATGGAATTGCCAACCAGAGCCGAAACAATGTTCGGGGCCAACGGATGGCATCTTCAGCCTCGATTTGCCACACAAACTCCTTGCTTGGCAGCAGTCCATCGGCGAAGTTCAGAACCTGGCGATCGGGCCGCCTCGCTTGCGTCCGTTGCAAAAGCATAGGGCCTTTCCGCGTTTGAACCCGCCCCGCCCCCCCCACGCCGTTTTTTCGGCAATGCCCAAAGCCATCCCTGCCGATCTCCACCAGCCTTCGCACCGCCTGCGGCCGGCCATCCAAGCCTGACAAAGATTGCTTCTGTTTGGTCGGCCGCCTATTTGACATCTGTCCTCGTTTTCAAGTCTCCAGCCAACTCGAGCCACGTCACGTTAGACAAACTGACAGAAGCCTATTCAATTGCCTGGGCTGATTGGCACAGACCCAATCCCTCAACATGGTAATCGAAAATCATCAAGGAAACGTTGTAACAAAAATGGTATGTGTAGAGTCATTGTGTTAACATCTACCGATGCTTCTATAAGCATGATGGTCGTTAGCAATGAATGAGGGGGTAGCATGAGATTGGTACTGGATAAACTGATCTGCTGGTATACAAATGGTAAACGATGGGTATAATGACGGAGATGATGATGAAATAGTGATAGGTATGATAAAATACAATAAAAAAATGAAACGGCATGACTGCCAAACATGAACAAGGAACTGATGAAACACTAAATGCGATACAGCCATCTCCTATTTACCGCACTGCCTCCCGTTTCAATGATCCCGTCATTCTCACTGTTCCACAGCCCATGGCCCACATTTAAGAAAAACTCGGATCGCGAAAACCGAAAGGAACAGACAGATTTAGTGTGGGGTCTGAATCCTGTAAGGAATGAACCAAGATTTTGGGGAATGATCGGAAGGGACCCGGGAAAAGGCAAACCACAAGGGATGGTGTAGTTCGGGGCCATTCCCTCATTCCCTCAAAACCAGCAAGAAATTCAACTGATCTGCATGTCTTACAATAGTTCCAACACGCGAGACAAGAAGTCTTCGAAGCAAGGGCCGTGGCTCTTACATGAAAATCAGCTCACTTGCCCAGAGCGAATCCACCAACAGCTATGGAACAACTCATTTGCGTTTGCCAAAAAAACAATGCTGCGAGAACCTCAACCTTTGGAACCTCGGCGCATCCATCACTGAAAAAAGAATGCGCTCTCGTTGACTTGAGACCAGCACGCAACAAGGACGCTGAATGAACTGATGAGACACATCTGAAAAAATGGCATTTTCTAAACATCAATTCGAAGGGCCCTCCGCTCTTCCCGACGGCCGCGCTCAAAACATGTTGGGCCCCGATTTCAGTCGAACATGCGATCTGTCTCGCGCCAAGCCGAACGTTGCCCGCGCCCGCCTGGCGCCGCTCCAGATAGGGCAAAGGCAAACGCAAAGACGCGAGGTCCACGATCAGCGACGTCTGCCTCCGCCAGGGATCAACACAGCGTAACAACATTAGCCCAAAACATTTGTGGCATGACATGAAATGTCTTGCAGCACCACTCGGACGGCACTTGGTTTTGCCTGCGCGCTTCATCCCAATCCTTCACGGATTGCATGAATCCTTCACGGATTGATTGGCCCGCACAGCTGGGTGGAACTTTTGAAGTCTGCCACGTCTCAAGGAGCTGCCTCCGTGCCTCCGAATTCAAAGCCACGAAGCAGGTGAAACAGCGCCGAGAGTGGCTACCACAACTGAACAAGAACTGCGGTGATATCATCGCAGTAGTTGCCGTCGTGATCGCTCCATTCTCGAAACGCCTTCTGCTGCAGCAGCTCCAGGGTCTTTGCTGGCCCCACTTTGGGAATTTTTGCGGCAACGGCCTCCACCACACACTCGGAGCTCAGAAATTGCCACATGCCATCGCTCGCAACGATGACAAAGACCTTCTTGGACAGGTCCACAGTTGTGAGCACCACCTCAGGAGTGGCGCACACACCGTACTTCTTGAGCGACTGGTCACCCAATGCGCGGGCAGCTGAAAGCCCAACCTTCCCACCTGCGGCAAGAACGCGGCTGGTGGTCACTCCACCACCAGTCTGCACAAGAACCTCGCCTCCCATCGCTTCAATTCTGGCCCTTTCCCTCTGGATGTGTGCCTTGTGGTCCTCGGTCGCGAAGATCACCTTGCCGTCAACCTCAGAGCCAAGCACAGCCCGGCAATCACCTGCATTGCAGGTCCACACCTTGTCCTTCTTAAAAAGAACTGCTACTGCGGTGCAGCCGCTGCACTCCACATCCCAATGGTTTTCCAACGAGTGGATCACCAGGTCTCTCTGCGCCTTCTCAAAGGCACTTGTCAGGGCCTCCTCTACGGCCTCTTCATCAACGGCCCCACTGAAGCCGCTCTCGTTGACCATGAACCACGGCACTGTCTGAACCGCGCGTGTTGCCACTAAGTGCCCATAAGGACCGTGCCCATCGAAGGCACAGACCAGCGTGTGGCCGCTGTTGAAATGGGTCACCGAGAAGTTGTCCTGATTGCAGGACTGCATGAAAGCCTTGTGGCCCTTCTGGCAGGCCACGAAGGCCGGCGGGGCTGAAGGAATCGACCCAAAGGACACTCGCTCACGGTCATCTCTGTGGCTTTCTCCTTTTTGAATCAGACCATGAATGTGGCCTCTCACTTTCGTTGCAAAGGTCTTGTTCAGCAAATCTTGACATGGAGCCTTCTCGAGCTCGATGCGGGCTTGTTGTCGCTCAGAAGTCATGCCGTCCAGATCGCTCTTCGACGCCTTCCGCTCAAGCAGCGTTGATGCCCGTGGGGCGCACAAAGTTCTGTTTGCATCACAAGACCTGAGGTCACATTGGTCATCGGCCTGCGCACCCCAGACGGCGTAAACTGCAATCACGCTGCTCAACGGCGCCAATCCGCCGGAAGTAAGGTCTCTCATGGTGCGGTTGGCGCGCTCTTCCCAGACTACTGCATGGCCAGTGTCGTCGCAAATGACAAATTTGTATTCAGCTTCGCCTTCCAGAGGTATGGGCTGCGATCTCCACACAGGGAAGTCGGACGCTGATGTGCACAGGGCAATGCCCTTGTGTGGGTCCCACCCTCCCAAGGCAGGGGGACTACCCACCACGCGCACGTGCCATCCCACGCGTGTTTCGGCGCATTTCAGGATAAACTCAACCCCGGCGCCTCCGGCCACGCTCGCAGATGCTTTTCCCGGAGCACGGGGTTGCGCGTGCTCAAAGCGCACATGGTCTGGGTCGTAGGTCATCCAGCTTTCCGAGATGGAAAGCACGCTGGGAGGAGCCAGTCCCTCAACAACACACAGAGTGCGGTTTGCGCCATCTTCCCACTGAACAGTAGCACCAGTGTCGTCACAAATGATGTACTTGTACTCGCAAATGCTCCCCTTGTCTACTGTGAGTGGTGCAGCGCTCTTCCACACAGGGAAGTCGTCCGGGGATGTGGTGAGAGCAATCCCTTTGCGGGGATCCCATGCTCCCAAAGCAGGAGTGCTTCCTACTGCACGCACATGGAAGCCCAGGCGCGTGTCGGCGCACTTCACACGAAAAGAGACCAGCATTGCGGGCTCCGGGCTGGAGCCGGACAAGCTCGACACCAATAACGTGCTTAAAACAACGTTTCACACGCACTCTTTCACAAATCGCGCCTACACCTTGGTAACAGAAGCATTGATAGACACTCGGGTTGTCCCCACTGCCTTTCATGCAAACCCAAAGGGCACCTCAGCAATCCTACTGGGCAATCCCACGCCCGCTGCCTGCCTTTGCCTCGCAATTTCCCAAACCCCATCCACCCGGGCAGGCAAAATGACATTTCCGACCAAAGCCGAAAAGATGTTCGGGGCCAACGGATGGCATCTTCCCAGCCTCGATGCGCCGCACAAACTCCTTGCTGGACATCAGGCGGCTATAGTTCAAAAACCTGGCGATCGGGCCGCACGGCTTGCTCCCGTTGCAAAAGCGCAGGGCATTTGCACTTTGTGACCGGCGCGCCTCTACCCTCCCATTCACACGTAACCTGATAATGGGGTCTCTTTAAATTTCCAAGAGCCTCTAGTCAGCATTCACGGTTAGTGAGAGGGAGGGTAGAAAAAAACAAGTTGAGACAATCAAAACCAAGGTGACATGGCTTATCGGAGCCCAGTGGAACAGTTTCGTATGGCCTGCGTGTAGAATTATCAAGATGGGGTGTTGCAGAAGCGACCGGCGACAAAAACGTGTGTTTGGAAGGGAACTATCAAGACAAGACGATGCGAAAGTGATCACCGGCGACAAGAAAGAGTGCTTTGCTCCAGTGTGGCGCATCTTGCGCTCTCGCTGTGACCACGACGAACGCAACCATTCCCCCCCCCCAAGACTTCCTGTGGTGGGGAGGGGGTCCAATAGGCAGTGTCACCAACTACAAGCCCATGGGCTCGTGCCTCAACCCGTCATGGGAATGCCCAAAGCCACTCCCTGTCGATCTCCACCAGCCGTCTCACCGCAGTTTGCGGCAGGCCATCTGAGCCTGGAACAATTGGTCGGGGTGACTCGTCCCGCAAATAAAAACTTTCAGAGGAAACCGAAAAGGAACCAAGCGTCCGAGCGCGTTTGATCGCCCGCCTCCCGACTGAATGGTTCAACGTGCCAACAGGTGTTGTCGGGAAATCGGGGTGAGGGTCCCGGAAGATTACAAACTGACAGAAACGCATTCAATTGCCTGGGCTGATTGGGACAGACCCAATCCCTCAATCTGCAAAGTAATGATCATTTGCTGGTCGCTAGTCAAGAGTCTCCGGGTTGCAATGGCACCTTGCTGTAAGGGGCAAATCAAAAGAATCGAAAGGATCGAAGCGGTCCAAATCCCATCACGCTGCCTGCTATTGGCGACCAGCCAAATGGATGCAGGGCGGCCGTCATGCCGAGCAAGAGGAAGTCCCGGACGGTGAAACGTTGGGAGGAAACCTCATGGGAAAAAGTGAAAGCTGGAAGAATGACGGTTTAGTTTAGTTCATCAATCTATCTTTCAATCTGTCCGTCCATCCATCCATCCATTCATCCATCCATCCATCTATATGTTTGCATACAAACTCATATGTTTCCAGATCCCAGGCTAAACGGGAAGCATTCATCTTGGGAAACACTGTAAGACAAACCCAACGCGGCCAGGCCTTTGCCAGGCCCAAAAAAAAACGTGTCCAAGCAGCTGCTAGAATAGCCCGCAAGCGCGTGACCCGGCAGGGGGTCACACACCAAACAAAAAGGGCAAGGGCTTGCCTGGTCCCGGACCGCCTCAGGTCCTTTTTCAAGAGTCTTTCAACCAACCCGGTGATTTCCACACATGCCCAGCCCCTGACCCTTTCCCAGTTCTGCTTTCCCAACGCGCGGCTAGTCTTCAAAGGGATCCCAAAAACAGGGCACAAAGACAAAATCCGGCACTGCATCTTCATGTTGACCCCAATGAACCTTGTGGATTTGGGCGGGGCTTCCCCAAAAGTCAGACTCGGATTCCTTTCAAATTTGGACATGCCCCGATGAAAGCAACCAGGGGTTCATTCCGGAAGAAAGTTGTCCGACTCCAATCGCTCAAACTGCTTCGCTCGAGGTCAAAAAAACATCATCTCTCAGCACGCATGAAAGTAACCCCAACAGCGGCAGGTGAAGACTGTTCCAATGATGGCAACTCAAACGAAGTTGTTCAAACAACATGAGGTTTCTGTAACATGGTGGAATGCATTTTCGTGAGCGGAAATGTGCCGATTGTCCAAGTTACGAACTTAGACATCAAACCAAAGACCAATCAAACCCTTCACCCGTATGTCCGAATGGATCTTGAGGCGGATTCGGAACCCTTCTTGGTAGGCATCATTCGAGTGGGGGGTTTCTGTCCTTTTCACATTTTTGGAAGATCGATCCAGAGGAGTCCAATTCTAACATGGCCACATCGCTATTGACAAGAAAGCCGAAGCCACCCACAAGTCTACTCGCCACCCCATGCTTGAACCCGAAAAACCACGGAAGCTCCGAGACTAAGAAGCTGAAATGTGTTAAACTTGAGCAGTTGAAACTTAATTGTTTGGACCTTTAGCAGACATCAGGAGACAGAACTCAAAGCAACGCAAGGCTTCCGACAAAAGAGCCTTGGACCTTCGGTTTGCCAACGCCGAATTCTCGACTCCGAATCCGAGGCGCTGCCGATCCCGGCGCAGGCACACAGAGCGCAAAGCGGAGGAAGAGCATGGCACAATGTTTCTACGTCCTATCAAAAGTGTTCCTCCTAGGCTGTCGCCACAAAACAATGGCAAGGGATTTCTTGGAACTTTGACTTTGCGAGCCCCGCTGTACCCGTCTTTTCACCCCCAAAGCTCAAAGCGCCCGGTTGCAGCTCTTTCGCCCGTCTTGCTTGAAATATCGGGCGATGAATGGTCGAAGGTCCCAGCCACAAGCTTGAATCATGAATGAGTTTTGTGTAAATGTAAGCTTTGAAGTTGCTGCTGTCCCTCCACACTGAACAAAGTGTCCACGCTGCCTGGTTTCTGTCGTTGCTGTGTTGGGGCTGGAAAGTGTTCTGCTTCGCCAGTGTGGAAGTACTTGCCAACAAAAAACGGAATGTGGCGTCCTCCGCTGACCACACGCGTGAAGCTTGTTGTCTGCATGCGGGTTTGCTTCTACAGTTGCTGTTCCTAAACAAATATGTTAAAGGTTAGAATCTTGATCACTGCTTCAATCCGAAAGGGAACATGCAGTCCAAGATGAAAGGGTGCGACCGACAAACATGCGCGCGCACTCTTTTTCTTTATAAGGCGTTGCTTGGAAGTTGAGGCTCAGAGGTGCAGGGGGAAAAACATCGCGTGTCCTTTCCCCGTATCTGCACCCCTCTGCGGAGCCTCCTCATATGCCCCCACTTCAGGGTTCCAAGCAAACGGCCTAATCTATCACCCCC